GCGGTCCCGTCTCCATTAGGAGACGTAAAATATAGTGTCCCCAATTAGCACTTTCGTGCTAAATACTTGACACTCAAATAGAGTGCTTTTTTTTTAACGTAGTTATTGGGGCTTCAAGGATTAACATTACAGCAACAGTATTAACATCACCCTGGACATTCCTGCTAAAAAATCATCCTGACAGACGCACAGTTGAACCTCTCCACAACGGACACCTTGGGGCAGAAGAAAGTGGCCACTGTGGAGAGGTGGCTAATGTAGAGAGGTTTAAACAAGAGTTAATGTATGGACTGTTCACCAAAAAAGTGGCCACTGTAGAGAGGTGGCTATTGTAAAGTGTTTGAAACAAGAGTCAATGTATGGACTGTCCGCCAAAAAAGTGGCCATTGTGGAGAGGTAGCCGTTAGTAAAGGTTTGACAGGAAATCCAGATTGTGATGCCTAAATAGTGATAGGATACCCAAGAAACCACAAGAACACCTAATTTGCCTGGGCCTTGCAGCAATTAATAAAAAATATTGCTTTGACTATACATGTACAACAGAGCTAACAATAATTGCTAAAAATATACTACTACGACCAGAATCCTTTTCGTTTTTTCTTTCATATTTAAATTTGGTAATCCCAGAGCGGTTTAAATAACAAAAGCCTTAATTTGCACAAGAAAGCAAAACCCTAAAGGATTCTGGTCATAGTAGTAAAATGACGTCATCAAGCAAACGACCTATTGTACATTCTGTCTGCTCATATAAAACAAATCCACCGGAAAAATTTTTCTCTTTTTTCCCAAGAATTTATTGCCAACACAAGAAAGGAAAACTGGAAATATTCATACATTTACAAAAGAAAACATTTCTGCACACTGTGATATTTCCAGCCTCCAGTTTATCTGTATCAGTCCTGTGTAGTTGCTGCATTGTCCTATAAAAAAGAAAATGACCAAAGGGATGAATCGTTACTCAGAGCTGCCTTTACTTTCCTTAACAAATTTCTTGCATTTAACTTGTGACTTTAATTTCTCGCTCCGTTTGCGACACGAATATAAATAATTTCGAAATAGTTCGGCGTGATTCACGAAGTGGCTTTCGATAATGCTATTATCTGTACCATAGTTTCTAATAAAACCAGTTTTTGCTCCGAACGTCGCCCCTGGCAAAATAAATTAGATAATTTAGAGGCCATAATAAAATTAGACAGACTTTGTTTATGGCTTGTTACATTGCAAACCTTTTATTGTAACGGTGTATCCTTCGTTCATTGTTTTAGAAAACGTTCTATACGTGTGTTTCTAAAAAGAAATGAAAAGGAAGCAAATTCAATGTTAAAAACAAAAATAAAAATATGCATTCAGCAAAATGTAAAACATCAGGTGATCAAGTTTATGTGTTCTGACTTTCATACAAAAAAACGCACAACTCAGCAAAATATTTAATGAAAGTAATCTACTATCACTCACTTTATTAAAGTGGAGGTCCCTTATGCCGGATTCCGGAAAGCAAGATACAGAAATCAGAGAAAACATTACGATGAAAACGACAAAACATCCATTTCTTGCCGCCATCTTGAATCGAACGAAGCTTTGAGCAACGCGCATGAGCAATAGAAACTGGTGACGTTAGCAAGATAACGTTTTCATACCGAGACGAGTGGGGAGAAGAATTTATTGACCAAGGCAAGATGGCGGCTGTTGATACATTGTTTCGCCAACTTGAAAAGGCCTTGTATTCAGTTTGGTCTGGTTGTCTTGGTTTTGGAAAGGAAGTTTAGCTGTCTGATGCTTCTAAATTTACTTCCCAGCTCAGGTGAGAGGAAACATGTTTCGAAAACTAATTCATAGCTGCTCTTGTTTGTTATCTGTTATGCAAGACTTTAGGATCTGGCCTAACGCTTGAATCTTTAATTGACTTATTTAAATTGTCAGTTTTGCTACCCCTCTTATAACCATACTTTATTTAAGTGTAGAAATAATTTTTCTGACTTTAACCAATATTTTATTATTCTTAAAAGCTTATGCTTATACGGCATTCAAGTAAAAGAAAAGTGAAGTTCAGCCACATGCATACCTGTCCCGTCGTTTGTTTATTGTTTATTGTTTAAGAGCCTTGACCTTTGTTACCCTTAATCCTTTGTACATTTTTAATATCAAAATAGAAATTCTTCCTCTTGCTTATATGAGTTAGTTAGAAGGTGTGAATGGGGTATACATCAGTTTACATGTAAGTAAACAATTAAAAAAAAGTCAATAGACAGTTTATCATCATGGACCATGCTTTTAAGCTGGCTTATACAATAAAGACAACTACCTCATGTGTGGTTCACAGAAATAACAGAAATGCAAACGCAAGGAAATACACATGTGAACCGTAAAAATGCAAATGCAGGTACAAGCGCCACTGCAAGAAATGGAAAAAAAATTCTTGCACTTCGATCGCACTTCGATTTACACATGTGAACCTGGGCAATGCAAACACAAATGGAAAAGTAAGGTGAAAAAACACAGGTTCCATTGGTTTCATGTCACTATGGCTTTGTGAAAAAGACTTGGACTGCATCTGTGTATCTTTCCTTCCTTGTATACATGTATTGGATGTGTGAACGTGGTTTACTTCTGCATTTGCACTCAAACTGCCCTTGCATCAAACATGTAAACCAGCCATTAGGTAGTCAAAGGTTCTACCAAGTATACAGAGATGCCAACCTCTGGAGATCTAAAATCTGGAGACTCTCTTTTTTTCACTCCTCCTCCCCCCCTTAGAAATTAACCCAGCCCCCAGTGGGAATGACTAAGGACATTATATGAAGTCTTACATGAAGTACATGCTATCAAAATTCGCAATCATCGTTTTGATGCCAGAAATAATCTTTGGCAGTGACTAACTACGTACAAAAATGCCCCAGAAACCGTACTGCGAATAAGAAAAATTCAAGTTTTGAGCTAAAAATGGGTTAAATTTCAAACCTAGGCACAGTAAAGCTCAAGAGATGATTTTATCCGGGAGATATGGTGACCCATGTGGGAGAGCGGGAGATTGGTGCCATATCCGGGAGAGTTGGCATGTATGAGGATAGCATGGTTTAACAATTTTGTCCCAATATGTATCAGTTACACAGTGAAATAATAAACACAGATAGTCCTAACACACAATTCAGAGGTTGCTGAAACTATTATTTTCTGTGAGTAAGTGGGAATATCTCTTGGTTTATTTTAGACTTATTCGGTACGACTACGTGTACACACCTCGTTCCGGTCTCATGGTAGGAAAATAACACAAAGTAAGTCGGACAGGTATAAGTTGACGATGAGTTCGAAGGTATGTCATTATTAAAGGCATTGCTTCATTTTAATCATTATGTAGTTCAATCCTCTGCATCTTTCTTAGGGACTGATAGCCTGTGAAAACAGCCATTATTTTATTTTATTTTATTATTTTGCCACACACAAATTATGAATTACAAGCAAAATAAAAACGATAATAAATAGGTTAACCCATTCGCCCCTGAACTGCCCGTAACTGCCCGTAACCGCCCGTGCGGATCCTTTCTACCCTTTGTGACGTCATCAGTTTTAACGGTCAAGGACAACTTTTTCCGCTAACTTGTGCAGAGTGAAGAGATCTTTCAAACCATACCAGAATGAGCACAATTCAGTTAAGGACACCGGAGAAAGAGGCAAAAAACCATGTAACATTGACCTGAAAATCTCCATGAAAATCTTGTTCCATTGCCCACCTAGCTTTCCTTTCACCTAATCCTAATATCCTAAAAGCTTTCCTAAAAACTATTCCCACCAAAATGAAGCCTACTAAATGCCCAGCAAGAGAAAAAAAAATGAGGCAAGAAAAGCGAAAAAAGAGAGGGAAGGAGAGAAAGTGAAAAGTAAAAGTCAAGACTGCTGTGTCGAAATTTTGCTTTCTGCGCATGCCCGAACTTCGCAAGCTGATATTTTGCATCTGGAACAGAAGGCCATGAAGTGTACGACCTGTAAACCGGTTTGGGGTAAGTTTTAGCTCTCCCTGTTATAGCACGACAGTGACTAGAAAACCACTCGACTAGCTTCAAAACGCGTTTTTCGGCAAAATCTCCAGGAGCGAATGGGTTAATTAACATTAAATTTAAAATTTGTACATTACTTGGGAGGAGTGACTGTGGTGGGGAAATCTCCGAGAAGCCGAGCTTATAAGGAATAGAGATTACCCCCCACGGGCAATTTAAATACTAGGCGGCATTTTAAGAAATAAAGAAAAAAGTCATTTATTTAAGTATATAAGTGTGTTTAGGTAGCATTCTGTCCCATTTCTCCTTGCTCCTCACCGCTGGAGACATTTCGAGGATCGCAAGGAGAAACCGCTGTTTTTGCAGGCTAATGGACTCAAACTATGTGACTTAGAATGAACAGGGTGATTTCATAAAAAAAATTCTGCAAACGGACTTGAAGTGAAAAGTTTTGTGCGTGGAGTTGTAATGGTCTTTATCTACTTACATAAATAAGTCCATCACATTGTAGCAGGCTTGAAAAAAACTTATTGCCTCAACTGAATTACCCATAAACCCTACCCCAACAGGTTAACAGATAAATGGTCAGCCTCTAATTACTGTTATCTCTTTTTAGCTCTTCAAGAAAACCAACTTTGTATGAGATCTTGGACGTATCGGAAACAGCAACTCTTGGAGAAATCAAGAATGCCTTTATAAAAAAGTCCAAAGAGGTAATTCCAGAGTATTAAAATTTTAAGTTGTGTGTGTTGATGTCAAAAATGTGTGTAGTGTTAAATACNCAAACCATGTGACTTAGAATGGAAAGGGTGATTTCATAAAAAAATATTCTGCAGCAGACTTGAAGTGAAAAGTTTTGTGCATGAAGATGTAATGGTCTTTATCTACTTACATAAATAAGTCCATCACATTATAGCAGGCTTGAAAAAAATTATTGCCTAAACTGAATAAACCCTACCCCAACAGGTTGTAGGATAAATGGTCAGCCTCTAATTATTGTTACCTCTTTTTAGCTCTTCAAGAAAACCAACTTTGTATGAGATCTTAGACGTATCGGAAACAGCAACTCTTGGAGAAATCAAGAATGCCTTTATAAAAAAGTCCAAAGAGGTAATTCCAGAGTATTAAAATTTTAAGTTGTGTGTGTTGATGTCAAAAATGTGTGTAGTGTTAAATACTAAGAATGTATCATTATCAGAGTTATTATCAGACAGTACTGCATGTACATTTTTGTAACATTCTTTCTTTAGGCTCGCTGATGTCACATGTTTAAATAAAGATTACCGGTATCTTATCTTATTTTACTGTTCAATTGCCAGTCTTGATTCTCAATTCCTGTATGAATGAAGAATTAAGAATCAGTTTTTGAGAATGAGGTAATGATTGAATTTCACAAGATAGAAGCAATATATACCTGGATTCATCCATGATTGATTTCTTGATAATTTTACTTTGACGTAACACAAAATGGATCACAAACAAAGCAAAGCTTAAGTACCAGCTGGCTTTGTGCTGTATTTCACTGATGCATGAGAAGTGCTTTTACTATAGAAATCTTTTCTCTTATATTTCTTTCAGTCTCATCCAGATACAAATCCACTCAAACCAGAACTCCACAATACTTTTGTTGAGGTAAACGTTGATACTTTTTAACACTATTTTCTTAAGCCTTGGTAATGATGTACATGTGTTTACAACTATTTACAGTTTTGTAGTTTGATTGAACTTTGTGTGGCCAATCTTAATGAAGCTGCTACTTATCTCATCCCTAATGGTGGCATTGATTGGAAATTTTGACTTTTTAGTGATATGTTCTGGCTGAAATTCTGTGAAGTGTTCAAATCTGTACTGGAAGTAACAATGTATTTTTTCCTTGTAGGTCAGTGAGGCATACAATATATTAAGTGATGCAAGTAGCAGACGTGCATATGATCTCTCACTACTCAGCTCTTTCAATTCCTCCTCTTCTTCAAGAGGTAGTCCCTTTGGTTCTGTGCCACGAAACAGGTAGAGGTCTTAGACTTTAAGTTGATGATTCACAAATTATTTGATCTTTTTAATGCTGTTGTTGCTCAGCAAATGGCAGATGATGTTGGTGTTTAAAAAGTTCAATACAACTTTTTGAGCAAAGTGGCTATAGATTATAATAATTACAGACTGTGCGATTACTTGAACCAGGGCACTTGGAAGAAGATGATCCAACCACAACTTTTTTTTGCAAACGGACCAATAAAATTTAAGATTGAAATATGCAACCGTTGAAACCTTTAAAACCATTTTAACTTACCTGACCTCTCAGGAAACAGCCCTAGCATTTTATGAATGTTACTGGTCTGTTTGCAAAAAAATTTGAGAATCTTTTGTTTTTAAAAAATGTTGTGATTGGATAATCTTCTTTCAAGTGCCCTGGTTTTAGTAGTTACACTGTAAGTCAAATTTTATTATGTAATTGGGATGTGCTTAAGACTTAAATTTTGTGATTGCCTCTCGTTATATTAAAATTCATACTTGGCTCCAATGCTTGGGGGAATAAAACAACAACAGAAGTGTATTATTCATTATTGAGCCTCAAGATGATTTCTTTTGTTTTATTCGCCCTTGCAGCCAAGTATGAATTTTAATATATCGGAATTGGTCTATTTCGGTCTTTGAAGAAAACCATTTCACCATCCTAGAGTTAAAACAGTGTCCTCTACGATGTCAATTTGTCTTTACTTTGCAGTGACAATTTTTAAGCTTCTCATTGTAAGCACCATTCACTCTTTGCAGGCAATCTTCATACAGTTACTATTATGAGAAGGCCACAAGCTCATCAAACTACAGGTATCCTTACTTTAAGTTACTGTATTTACATGTGTATAATGCGCACTTTTTCTCCCCTGAAATCAACCTTCAAATTTATGATGCGTATTATACACTTATTCCATTGTTTGGTCAAGAAAACAAAAGAAGACAAAAGCTTTGCAGTAACTGGTGTTTAATACACTCAGTAAAGTAAACTACCAATGAACTGTTTTCAATTTTGATCCATGAATAAATTAAAATGACTATTTAAGAAACAGCTGATCGAGGAAGACAACATGTGAGATTGTCACTATAGCAATTAATCATGGCTACGAAACTTACCACTGTGAAACGTCAAAGTTGCACTGTGTTCGACAAGTTAAGAATAATCCAGTTTGCAGAGCAACATGGCAATCGTGCTGCTGAGCAGAGGTACATCCTCCCTCATACAGGGTCCAGTTGCACAAAAGGTGGATAAAGCTATCGACTAAATATATCACCAACCAACCTCAATTCTCTCTAAGCAATATATTTTTTTATCAATACATCATTGAGAGGAATATTGTAAGAATTAACAAGATAATCAGCTAAGGGAAAATACTTTGATCTTCAAAGAAATTCTCTCCACGATAAGACTTTCCTTTACATACTTCTAGTCGTATCTCTTAAAAAACATACATCTACAATGCCCAGTTTTAAATTAAGGTCAAATTTTAAATTTTGGATCCAACAAACAGTTTAAGGAAACAGAGGATCGGGACATCCATGAATAGAGGTCTAGGAGACGAAGAAAATAGAGAATCAGCTAAGGTTAAAAAAATATTAAACCTGAATTAAATTTTGACCTGTAACATAGATAATAGGGTTTAACCCTTTAACTCCCAATAGTGACCAAGATCAATTTTCTCTTGACAATATCCATACACTGTTAAAAGATAAGTTATGAGAATTAATAAAATGATCACCTGAGAGAAAATGCCCTGATGTATCATCAAATTCTCTCAACTAATTCCTTAAGGAAATGTATGGAGATCAGTTTGGAGAATTTGTATGTGGATACTAGGGCTTAAAGGGTTAAAGGATTAAATGTCTCATCATTGTTGTAATTTTTTAAAATTAGATTTTCGTTTTGATCTTCAGGCAATCAAGAACCTATGACTTTACAGCACCACATGTACATGTAAACAGAGCTCAAAAACAGAAACACAACAGACTTATTATGTTGGGAGCTTTTGTCTTCATGATGACTGGAGCTACAGTTAGCTATCTTATAATCAGGTTTGTTTGCCTAACAGTTTTTCAAAGTTTATTCTACAGTATTTGTCTGTAACATTTGAATATATGATGCTTGGGAGACGTATTTATTTGACGTGAAGCTGTGATATTGTCATGAATCAAGTTAGGTTTTTGGAAAACTGCTCACCTACCCCTCCCTTAAACGCTTACTTCTCACTTGGGGCAAAATGTTGGGTTAGGGGAGGGGTAGGTGGGCAGTTTCCCAGAAACCTAAAGTGATCCATTGTCATTTGTAAGTTATTTCTTTGCTGAGGATAAGTCACATAATTGGAAAATATTTATTGAATAAAATAGTCAGCTGTGACACAGCTGCTTTAAGCTACATTTCAAGCATTCCTGTAGACTTCTTTCCTGCACTTGCTTTTGCAGTGACATTCCAAGGCTAGATCTGTCTTAAGTTAACATAGCCTTACACAGACACTTTGGGCTGGTCCTGATATTAGAGAACTTTAGCTTTTGTTGTCGGGAGAAGGATTACCACCTTCAGCATGAATAACTGTGCTATTTTTTTTTGTTGCAAAAAAAAATAAATAAATAAAGCTTTCTGGGTTGCAGGGCTCAAAGGTTAAATTTGAGTTTGGGAGCACTTGTGCTACCAGATGTAAATTTTTAGGTGCACAGCTGAAAATTTTAGGAGCACAGCTTGCAATGTTTGGAGCCTCTTTTTCAAAAGAAAAAGTAAAAAGCTTTACAGTACCACATAATAATATGTCATCTTCAGTAGAAATAGTTTCTTTTATTTCAGTCCTGTGATTGATAAAAGACAGCTGATTAACTATGCAGTAATACTGTTGTGATTTTTAGCATTAATTTCTCTTTTTGACAGTACAGTGTGTTGTGACTAAAAGAAACTTACACTTGAAAAAAATGCCCAGCAACAATGAGTATGTCCAACAAGAAATAATCTTTAATGAATTTGTTAAAATATACAATGACTTACATGCAACGACTTAAAAACTATTTCTTATCTGGAAGAAAAAAGGCTCTTAATCTGCACTAGCTGTTTTTGTTTTGACATGCTTGACACTCTTGACCTTAGAAATGAATGTTGGACATGATCGTCCATTGTGCAAGAAGCATGTTATTACAAAACAGAAGAGTCGAGGATGGAGTAAAATTAACATTCAAGTTCATGGAATCCTTTGGGAGAGAGGAAATATTAAACAAACACAGATGAAACTTATTTTAGAGCCTGGTTTTGGTATTTCTACATTACTTTTACTTTCATTGCTTGAAGCTACTGTTGAACATCTTAAGTACTAGTTCGAGTATGTAAGTATGGTCAGGTTAGGAAGCAGAGAAGCAAGTCAGTCAGTGTGCCTTGGGTTTTATGGTGCACAGGTGTGATTACACATGATTTTTTAGGCGCAAAACCAAAAATCCAGTCGCATATGCAACCAGTTAGCCATTAACTTTGAGCCCTGCTGCGGTGTCATTAAATCTGCTTGATATTTTGTCAGCTTCTCCCCACTACTTCTGTGGGAAATAAATAGGGGCAACAAATGAGAATTCAAATTTTGATCTTACGGTTATTTCTCACTCTTCCCACTGTTTTTAGAACTGTCAGCTCCTGCCTTTTCCTCTCTCATCCTCTGTTCTCCCCTGTTCCATCTCCTGTCCTGCACCCCTGTTCTCCCTGGCACTCACCCCCATGTCCTCCCTCACTGAAAAGGGTTGTTGGCAGCTTTGCCTCTAACTGTGAATTGCTGTTATTCGCCTTTAATATATAATTTGTGGCAGCCTTAACATTTACAGTCAAAACCCGCTTAAAACGGACACCAAGTGTTATTATGGACAGTTTTCCTTGTTCCTGTTAACCCTTTTAGTCCCAATAGCGACCAACATCAATTTTCTCCCAATGATATCCATACATTGTCAAGAGACTAGGTTATGAGAATTAATAAAATGATCAACAAAGAGAAAATGCTTTGATCTTTTGTCAAATTCTCTCAACTCATTCTTTAAGGAAATATACAGAGATCAGTTTGGAGAATTTGTATGTGGATATTAGCACTTAAAGGGTTAATTAAAAGAAAGCCCTTACATTTTCTGTAAATTCAACCCACTTATTACGAACACCTTGTTAATGTGGATGCTTTCTATGGCCCCTTCAGTGTCCATATTAATTAAGTTTGACTCTATTAACATTTTGAGAAAGTTAGCGCACAACACTTAGGAGTATAAAGGTAGTGCCATATGATTATAAGTCATGACATTAATTTTGTTCATCACTCCATCACAGAACAAGACATAACCTGTACAGAGCACATATGGATGAATCCAATCGAAGAGCACATCAGGTGTATTCACAGGCTGTGGAGAGGGGAAGGTACATAGATTTCATCATAAACTTTTGATGTGGCTGTTTTATCTGAGGAGTGCTGCGTACGTTGTACAGTATGAAACTAGTTACTGTAGTTATAAAATGCAAGTCGAATCTTCAATAATTATTGATTAGGTCACCTCTATTATAATGCCCTAGTTCTTCTATTGAGCACTCTGACAATAGGTGTGCATATCAGCTGGTATAGATTTAATAATACTGATAATGATGATATTAACAAAATAATAATAATATTATTAATATTATTTTAATATATTATTCAGTGAATTGATAGACCTTGTTAAATTTACTTGTGTGCAGCTTTTGCAGCTTTGATCGTGATCAATTAAATGACCTCTGTTAGTGAATAGCATGAAAGAGACAACTTTGTCAAGGTGGCATATTCTTCAGCATGCAAAAATTCAATGATGATGTTTATGTAATAGTGAGTTAATATTTTTTCAGAGCAAACGGTCTAAAGCGTCAACTGGAACATCTAATCGCTCAGAGCAGTAGTGGGCTTGAAAAAATTGCTGCGTCAAAATCAATACAGCATTTAGAAGAGAAGAGAGAGTGATAAGATGTATGTATTAATAAAGCTCTTTGAAGACAAGTTGATGAAAAGGGCAAGGTAACTTTGGTTATCACAAATCGATCAATGCCAGAATACATTTTGTACACAATGTATTTCAATTCTGTTGTAAATACTCAAAATCTAAATGTCTTTTTTGTTAATATAATAATACTGCACCATTTTTATGACTAAAATTTATGTGTCCACTATATCCTGGACCTGCTTTCCAGGAGTGTTTTGCACCTGCCAATTCTTGGTTCATGCTAAAAACTTAATCACTGGTTTCACCGGATTTCAGAGGTTTAGAGATCCTGGGTTTTGAATATTTTCTCCTCCATATCAAGAAAATATTATATCAGCATTATTTGAATTGGCTGCGAGTGATGAACCTGACCATGGATGTTGGTTGATCACTTAGAAATAAATTTTGTTACCATCCCTACCTCCACTACCTCCAATAGAAAACAAATTCAACAAAGTAATCATTAAATGACAAACTTTTATTCATATATTTGCTGTGATAATTATATCCCTGGTAAACAGCTACATGTACATGAATGTTGTGGTCTCTGACATAATGCAGAAAAAATAAACTGGTTATTTTTATACCAAAGAAATATTGAAACCCTAAGAAGAGACACATTACTGTACTATGTGAAGGTGTAGTGTTATGAAAGTTCTCTTTAAATAGCATTATTGACAAAATAAGTTTTACCCCTATTTTTATTTTTCTGTGGAAAAAGAGTCTTCCTTTATTGCTCGATATTTATATCTATAAAAATAAATCACCGGTCTCCCTGTTTTCCATCTATGCTTGTATTGCTTTTTCTAATATTATTAATGCCAATTTGGTATTGATATATATTTTTTAAAAGCATGAACACTCAGGCAACACCAGGAGTTAAATCTCAACTTCTTCCTTAGTCATGTGATTTTGTAGAACTTATAAGGCAGTCATGATCTGCCATTGTGTGACTGTTACAAAGGGATGGAGGCCTCATTGTACCACTCTCATGTGACAGTATATGGCACTTGAGAATGGTGATGTAAAGAATGATCAGGCTCCAGTTGTTCAAACGTTGGATAGTACTATCCACCTGATAAATTGCTATCTAGTGGATAACACAATTGATTTCCCTAATACTTATCCAATGGAGAGATTTATCTGGTGGGTAGTGCTATTCAATGTGTGAACAACTAGAGCCAGAATGTTATGATGGATAACACCACATGACTGAGGAAGATGCTCAGATAATGTCAAAATATTTCCTCAACCAAACTCTTGCTACAATTCTGTATTTTCTCATCATTTATTTTCTCCTAATTTTTAAAGACTTAAACTTTTTAACACTATCTGAAAAGTATGAGTTCCTGCCTATAGAATGTCTTAGCATGAAAGAATGTGCTAACATAATAAGTTAATCAGAAAATAAAATATAAACATTGCCACTATTTCTTGCTTTCCCTATTTTCAGCCATACATAGTCTTAAAATTGTTATTTGATGCTACTCATTTTGGGTGGTTTATGAATATATTAATTTATCTATTAATAGTACTGTTATATTATCCATAGGCATATCCTCATAGGACGAGCAGTTCTTTTTAAAGTTAATTTAATTCCTTTCTTTCTTTACAAGTAAAGTGCAATAAATTTTAGGATTTCCCCCATGTAACAACCTCAGTTTTAATGGTGTTCATAAAACTGTTCGAAAAAATCTTATTCTGTCAATTTGGTTATAATAGCATGAGCTTATACAATTGCCACTTGGCATTTTTACTGGAAATGGAAAACATTGTTGAATCATTGATTGCTTCTTTAACATGAAACTAAATTATTCTCTTGTGAGTGGAGATATTTATTTATTATTCATTATTTTGTACAATTTCCCTACTGAGCATCTTGAACAGAGTTCCTTTTCTGGATAAGAACCCTTGGGCGTGGTCTACACGTGCCGTACCAATGAATTTTTGTTAAGCAATATCAATGCAATAATGTTAGGGATGAAAGGATGTATTGGGGAAACCTGTCCACCAGCTTCTGTACTTTGTTATAAAACTATTTGTTGAAAAGGGTACTTTTACAATATTAATGATAAATTATTATTATATTAATGCAGTTAATTATGAAGAGATTAGTACAAAAAAATTAATTTTAAAGCTTTAAATATATTGCTAAATGAACTCCCATGTAATGGTGGGGGTCTAGTATTGTATCAAATTGTGATTTCTTACACTGTCAAACAGCGTCTTTGTATAACATTTTGTTCACACATTGTTCTTTTTGTCCACTGAGTTGTTGGTGTGTGAGGTCTAGCCATGGGCTGTAAAAAGAGATCACTCTGCCGAAATATTCTAACACCTTAAATAAAGGGTTTCCAGAGTCGCTGCGTATCAAAGAAAGTCTAATCTATTTTTTGATTTTAGCGTGTCACCATGTTGTGGCAGTGTTACATACACTCCTCTATGTTTTGTCTCAAGATGCTGGCATTTGCGCACAGGTTGCAAAGAAAAGACATCAAAATGTTTTCCTTTCGTTTGGAAAGTAATCTGTAACAGTGATGGTGTGATCTCTTTTTAGTGTCCAGAGCACAGGGACCCAACTGATAGCACAGGAACACCAACTGGTAGCCTGACAGTTACAGGACGCAGTTCCTGAACACTGACTGATGTTGAAACTGATCATTTCATTCAGTCTCCATCATCCAAAAGCTCACACCAATCATTGCAGAGGCATTATTCTTCTACTTGTACTCAAGCATCGAGTCCATTCCAGTATTGACAGACCTCTATCTTTGTCAAGGTCACAGTCATTTAACAACTTTTTGCTACATTTTCTTCCTCTTTTTATTGTGCCAAGATGTTTCTTCATGGCAGATGTCAGAAACTCGCTTGACAAAAGAAGTTTGTCTTTGTTTTTGTCCAAACGATTGAATTTCCAGATTAACACTTGATGATCTGAGAGCTTTGAGCCCAGATATTGAAGATCACCGGACCTTGCACTCCTGCGTTCATGATTTCTCATTGAGGATCCTGCAGAAAGAAAACATTTGGTTTGAATTAATGATCAGAATAATGTGTGTTATGTTACAGTGCAACAAATGCAACTGTGGCCATCGACACTGTGATACTAAACAAATGTGCTTGTTTTGTCTAATGAACTAAATGAAGTTAGTCTGAACTCCTTTGTGATGAATGTGATATGTTATTACCTGTCAGTCGAACAATGTCAACTTATCATATGGATTATTGGTAAAAGCGCAGAGGAAGAAAGAGGGGTTAAAATGAGATCTGACACGGGTAATCAGAAAAATATTGGGATAAAAAAAGAATTAAACAATTATGAGGAATTGTGTTATCTAGAATAATCAAAGTCAAGGTTGTTCAGCCTATGATGATAACATTTATGAGACCTTGATTATTCTGGATATCACAAAAACCAAATCTCCAAATTGTTTTATTATGCATAGTTTTTAATAAAATAATGACTAACACACTGTTGCACAGAACACGGTTTGACATTGCTTTGCAAATCTGCAACCTACAGATAAGTCAGTGATCTGCTAGCAGATAACTAAACTAATCAGCTGGTTTTGCTGATTTCCAAAATTAACTGTACGCTCTTAGCTAATAAGAAGACAGTCAAGTACAATATACAGAGATGATTGAAATGGATTGACATACCGATGGGATCATTGTTGTTACTTGATGGTGAATCTACTTCAACTTCTTTTCTGAATAACTTGATCATGTGTTTCTTAAATGAAGTCCATAAATCCTGGGCACATTCTAAACATAAAAGGAATGATAAATTTTAATCAACGGTAACACTTGCATGTAGAATTAAAATAGCAATTTCAACTGTGTATGACACTGTCTTGTGTGTAAGCCTGGATGATCGCTAAGTTTGCGAGAAAAAATGTTCAGTGATTGCTGCACTAGACTTCTAAGGCAGTTTCATATTAATGCTGGTTTTCATAAATTTCATTCCACTTACGTTTTTTCACTATGGTTGTTGAATTGTCCTTAGATGCTACGTGGGAAAAAAAGAAAAGAAAGCAAAGTAAATTTTAAAATGAATTAGAGAACTTGTAGTTAATTAAACAGAAAACGCAATGCGTGCATGGTTAAATAAAAGCTAGGACTTAATGGTAACAAGAAAGACCAGCATCAGGTTTCTTCTATCAAAACATAATCAAACGTAGCTCAAGACTTTTAGTCACATCCTCACAGACGCAAATTAAACCATCTGATTTAATGATAAAGTATTGCCTTAAAATCTGCTTGGGCCAGAATATTGCAAAGCTCCTGGCATTCAGACTGGGAGTGTTGTGTTGCTCTGGCTCAAGCGGCTAAATAAAATTAATATAATCCGTAATTTTTTCATCACGTACTGTATTTCCAGCAATCCAATGAACTGGATTTAGCTGTTGTGTTGGGAATTGGTTTTCCTGTATCCACGTCAACACACCAGCAGTAACCAAGTGAGTAATGACATTGTGTAGGTTCATAAGAACCATCACTTGCGCAGTGTGGTAGGTAAGGATTGGAGCCTGTTGAATGCTGTGTTGATTTCAGTGCTGCAAGATATTCTCCAGTGCACTTTTTGATCTCTGTTGGGAAAAATTTATAGATATTCTAAAAAATCAAATCTCAAAATCTTGATTGGTGAGGTGGGAGTACTTTCTCAATGGAGGAGTTTACTTCTCCTGGTTTTGGGTAGCCTGCAAGTATAGCCATCTCTGCTGCTCCTTGCCGCTTGGACATTTCATGGGGAGAGATACCTTGTAAATTTGTTGGAGTTTATGTTTTTCATGGTCTACTATCGTAATGTGGAAAATTTGTTCAACAAATCAATAATTACTGAATATCTGTGATATATACTTGACATTAAGGTTATTATTATAATGCAAGAAGGGATCCGTAGCCTGTGCTATAAATGGAACTAAACTTTTGGTCAAGTCGGTCTGTGAAACAGCGCCAAAATCCTTGTTCTGGGCACCCAACTGTGTACCCAGATTTGTTTACATGCCATGATATGCCTGTTTAAACAGGCCATTTGTCAATTTGCCAACTAGATCAGGTGAAAGAGATATTTAAAATGCATTTCTGGTAATTCATCAAATCCGGTCGGGGCAAGGAACAAAGATATTGGCCTTGCTTTATAGACATTGCTAACTGAGCTTTGATTACATTTGTGACGCAGGAAATCATATGCCTTACCTTTCACCCCTAAGCATATGTACCACTCATTTAGTGAGAGCTTATAATCCTCGTCCTTGTCGCAGTAGGCTAAAAATGAACGGCTACACTTTTTGGGTGAAATGGTCTTTTTAGTTTTCTTTAAGAATCCATGAAGCTCTCGCATTTCCAGCACATAATCAGCGTTAGCATCAAGATGAGTAAATTTCCAGAGTAAGAGATGAGCCTTTTCCATACTTTTAGGCTGACCTAAAATTCCGCAAAGTAATTAAAAAGCAAGAATAAGATTGAATATTGTCTCTATAGTAAAACTAGCCTGCGAGCAAGCTCTCCTATTTAAACGCTCGCGTGTTCTCGCGAGACTTGCTTCACTCGCCCAAATAGGAGAGCTTGCTCGCAGGCTATAGTAAAATGAAATTGAGGGATAGTTTGAGCTAGGGAAGCTGTTTACTGCCAAGAGATCAACCTGATTTAGAGCAACAAACAATGAATTTTCAACACTACCCATCCCCTCCGCATCCTTACCCACCAACTATCAGCTCATACACCCAGGGGTGGGGTGGAGGAAACTACCATTTCTTTACTCACAACCTGCCCTAAATGTAATACTTGGAGATGTGAGCATAAAAATCCAAGAACACCCTAAGTGAGACTGCGTGTCTGCATTTGACAACCTAACAGCCAGCCCAAAAAATTTCTAATAAGGGTTCCGGCCCACCTAGTAGGCTGTTTATTACCAATTATTACTTTATAATAATATCAAAAATTGTACACTTCAAATTGCAATCGAATTATTAATATTTTTTTACTCACAAATATGATTTATCATTATATTTTATGAAAAAAAAAACCATTTGAAGTAGTATATCCAAAATGACACCTGCAGTATTTCATCCAATATCCAGACACCAAGAAGTGGCATGGGTTGAAAAACGAGGCGCAGCCAGGATATCAGATGAAATACTGTGTGGAGTTTTGGAGATAGCTTCTCAAATGAACAATAATCTTGGAGAAATTCAAAGATAAGGTTATGGTAATTAGTATCCGATATCCAAACCACTGCCAAGGTATAATGTGATTTTCTTTGCTTTCTCTTTATGAATTATTAATGAGTTTGAGAGGGGCTCCGGTCTCTAATTCTATCAATTGGCTTTGATAACTATCTGCCCAAAGATGCACCTCCAAATGTTGTTCAACAGTAGATGTACAGATTAAGCCAAATTTGGAAAGTTGCAGTGGAGTCTGATTAATGTTTTTCAGTGAATTGAACTCTAACGCACCTTGAACTTTATCTGTAGATGAAGGGGATGGCCTTTGGACATATTCCATGAATTCTTTGGACAAAAATGTCACAAGCTTCTCATTAAAAACAGCTCGTGTTTCTTGTGAACAACCTGAGACAAAATTAAACATAGCTTAGTATCAAATTCTACTTTAATCTATGTGTGCTGTTATTTTGTTTACTGATTCAATGAGCTGTGCTTGTAGTCATTTAACAAAGAAAAAATCAATGACTGAAGACCAAGTAATATATACATGCATTTACTCAAAATCCAGTGAATGTAATTTTACCTTTGCAATTACTGCAAGGTTTCACATACTTCCAGCTTTTTCCTGCTGGCTTGACTGATGGTTTCGCTAAAAAAAAATGTCAAGGAGAAATTTAATATATTTTTTAGTACTATCATAAATCCTTAATACTATGATGTTATGACACTATCAGTGAGATAATTTTTTTATTCCTGGTGATATCTTCCATAATTCGCAAATAATTAAGGATTGATTAAGAATTCATACAGTATCATGGGCAGAAATTTAAAGGTGATCTTCATGTGGTCTTAGAGGATCAAATTTTAGGGAAGGATATCAGTAGGCCGGGGGTCAAATGTTTGTTTTATCTTCAAATATATATTTTTCTTTTTTTAGTTTCACTTGGTCAGGGTAAAGTTGATCCATCCAGCAAATATATTCAAACCCTATTCCACAGAGACCCACTTAATATGGACACCTCATTATTTACACGGTCAGTTTTCTTTGTCCCTGGGGAAATTATAAGAAAAGCCCTTCCAGTTTCTCTAAATTCAACCTGCTTAAACATGGACACCCCATTAATAATATTAAAAGGGACACTTTCTTTGGCCCCCTCAGTGTTCATATTTAGGGTGTGACTCAGTGTAGTATGAAGATAAATTAAACCTACTGTGTGCAAGGTTAAGTGTAGGACATCTTGGTCTACTGCCTCGTACTCTTGTGCGGCGAATTTCTTTCCCCATTTTATCCACGCACCAACAATATTGTGATGAATGGAGGCATTGCACTTGAGAATAACTCCCATCTGACTCACACTTGGGTACAAAAACGCCCAGCATAATCAGCTGTTTTGATTTAGCATTCTGCAATGCTTGCTGTCTGTCTTGGAGACATTTTGATGTGGGTGATAATACCTGGTTGTCACTTTGCAGTGGGAATTTTCTGGCATCTTGGTCGTCTGCACCTGCAAGAATGATTAATACAATAAATATTTTTAACAATTAATTCTAGCAAACATAGCAAAGAGATCTAGAACTTGACCTGTTTTTTTTAGTGGATCAAACACTTAATGTTTCAAGAAAAAAGCAAAATTGTTTGGGAGTAAATTTAATCATAGTAATGCTACGTAAAACAATTTGCAGTGTTGATTTTAAGGGCAACAATGTTGGAGCAATGTAACAATTCAAAACAATGTCACTACAATGCTACAATGCTGTGATGCACTGATAATCATAGTTGAGAATGGTGCCACATAACATCCACTTTAAGGGGCGGCAGCAGTGCGTGGTTCAGAGTAACTGCAGATATATGTTGCAGTTGATTTTTCATCTCTGGTAATTTTTGTTTTTCTTTTGTTTTTGGGTAAATTGGTAATGTATCCTAATGAAGCTGAAACAAAGGGAAAGTAAAAATTACCTAAGATAAAAAATAAATTACGACATATATATAAGGAATAGATATGAAATAAATCATATCTAGAATTGCAGATAAAGATTGAAATTGAACATGATCTTCGCAGAAGAATGAACAACCTAAGCAGTTGAAAAAGGTTACCTAAAAAAAAACCAGGCTTGATGAGGAATGAAACCCTGACTTAACCCTTTAAACTCTTAGATCAAAATTTGAATTCTCATTTGTTGCCCCTATTCGTTTCCTACAATAGTAGTGGGGAGAAGTTCAAAAAATATCAAGTAAATTCGTCTTGTGTGATCATGTCGGTTTTTCTCATGACCACTCTGCTTTACAAAGCATTGATATTACAAGGAGAAATTTGATGCTGATCATTCTTAGGGCTTAAAGAGTTTTTTTCAGGCTCTTTTTCAACCGTTTAGGTTGTTCATTCTACTGCAAAGATCATGTTCACTTTCAGATAAGCCTGTTGTTTTCTCTTACCTGGTTTTCTGCATTTTCCTTTGTAAGCCATCTTTACTTTAATCCCAAGTTTGCACTTTGCGTAATGAAGAAGACATCGACTGCTATATGTTCTTCCATCACTTCCACACACTGGTCTGGCGCCTGACTCATCCTCTGGGCACTTTCGGCATGCACCACTTACATACTAGAGAGAAACAAGCACCATTATTGTCACCCCTATGAGTCCCAAGAGTGATCAATACCAATTTTCTCCTAAAAGTATCGTACATATGTAAGAGAAAGGTTATGAGAAATTTTAAAAAAAGTATCACCAAAGAAAAAATACTTTGATCTCTGAACAAATTTTTGCAACTAATTCTCTGAAGAAAGAATATACTAAGATCACTATGGAGAATTTGTATGTGGATATTGAGACTTAAAAATTAAAATCAAGGTCAGTCTTATTCTCAGAGTTCAGAGATGTGAATTTGAACAAGAGCTGTCTACCAGTGGCCATTGCAGAGGAAATCTAAAAGATAATCAACAATACTTAAATTAAATACAAATCATGTAAGGTAGGGTGCCTTTTGCCAAAAATAAACACAGAGTGCTTTAACGCAACTTTTGTAAATATGTTAATTTTTAAACATAATGTTTTATAATGATAGTTGGCTTCATTGTAACTTAAGATATGTATTTTTATCCTTCGAAATAAAGATTGATTTCTACATTTTAAAGGAAAAATCAACAATCAATGATCAACGATTTGATAATGATGACATGGAGTCATCGAAACGTCGTGTTACTTTTTTATCATTGATTTTTCTATAAAGATTATTATTATTAATACTTATGAGACATCAGAACTAAAGAAAAATGCACCCCTGGATCTAACTTGATCAGCACAAATTCTAATTTTCATATTAAGTCTAAAGACAAAATGGGGTATTGGTGGCAATTCTAGAATGAATGGTGATGTACCACTTTGCTATCAAGAATAAACAAGTATCAAGGCTACAGATTTGAGTTTACATCATTTTGTTTTATTGTAAGTAATTATCAATAACTGTTTGTTAGATCAGTTTAGGGAATTAACAACCCTTTGCAATCTCAAAACACAACCTGCAGTAAGGTTTGAGTCCATGTAAAATTCAGAAACTTATTTACATTGAAGCTGGGTCTAAAATCAATGGCAAATAATGTACAACATTTAAGGGTACACACTTGAAATAAAGAATTGACCAGACAAACGCACCTAGAAAAATACAAATATAGAATCGAGTATGGATATACATTTTCAGTCTTTTATAAGACCAATAGTTTTTACCAATATACAACTGAAAAAAGGGGTTAAATCATACGATTTAGCTGCCAAAAAACAACTCATTGATAAAACCCAGGTTTAGTCTTAATATGCACTGTTTCTTGTACAAGACACTTCCACAGGTCGTCTGTTACAGAAGTGTACCTTTTTATCTTTTTACTTTAAGGAAAAGATTTAGTAATTCTACTTTTTTTGGCTCTAATATCAGCACACATATTCTCCTTATATTTCTTACGGTACTAATGAGAAGAATTAACTTTTGTGTAAGAGGATTACTTTTTGTAGTTTTCACACTCTGAGTATTCGATTACCTGCAACTACACAGCCAACTACATTATATAATTCTTTTACGTAACAAAGGTAACTTATCGTATTTTTCTGTTATTTTGATTCAAGGCATGGCTGTAAGGAATCAAACTAATAAGAGTTTCTCTTTGTACATGAATATGAATGCTCTAAATTAAGATTGATTATCAACGTCCACACAACCAGGGCGGGCGGCGATCATTTATGCCGAGGATCAGAAATTCTATATGACTGTCGCCACTGTATATGTGCAATTACACACCCAAATGGCATTTTTTGCATACCGTTCACAAACTGGTCTTTTTTAACGTTTTAGAGCAATATTCTAATTCCTGTTAGAGGAGATAAACAGTTTTGGGGGCAAATTAGCCATTTTCTCCAGAAAGTTCTTATTTTAACATGTGACGTACGTGCATCTTTGTTCTTTCGATCTAANGCATGGCTGTAAGGAATCAAACTAATAAGAGTTTCTCTTTGTACATGAATATGAATGCTCTAAATTAAGATTGATTATCAACGTCCACACAACCAGGGCGGGCGGCGATCATTTATGCCGAGGATCAGAAATTCTATATGACTGTCGCCACTGTATATGTGCAATTACACACCCAAATGGCATTTTTTGCATACCGTTCACAAACTGGTCTTTTTTAACGTTTTAGAGCAATATTCTAATTCCTGTTAGAGGAGATAAACAGTTTTGGGGGCAAATTAGCCATTTTCTCCAGAAAGTTCTTATTTTAACATGTGACGTACGTGCATCTTTGTTCTTTCGATCTAAACAAGCTCTTCGCGGAAGAGTCGCATTTTTGTTAACTTTGTACACTGAAAGAGACATCTATACGAGCCGAAAATGGACGTAAAGACTGTTCTCGTTTTGAATACGAGGTGATTTCTACCCGTAAACGATTGCTTAATATTCAAACGACGTTTGTTCGGACCTCAGTGAAATCTAGTGCCACTAGAGTGATTCTGTATCACGCGAGCATTTCTGCATGCACGTGCCTGCATGAGACGAACGGCACGAATCTCAAAATTTCACCCTTATAAACACTGAAATACAGCCAACAGGCTTCTTGATTCTGAAGTTAAACACTCCTTAACGTTTACGACAATGTTTTTATGGAAACTAAAAGACAGCTGGGTCGAGTTGCGTTGTTGTCGACTAAAACAATTGTACATTATTTACGACTTTACATATTATATTCCATTCTTAAAGATGGCCGGAACGTCTACGTAAGGCGTGTTGCGTCACACCTCACAAGTAATGGAAATAGTTTACGGTTGTGCAACTCAGTGCGAAAAAACGGCAACAAAATCCCTTATAACCAAACCAAAAAACAATCTAAGTATTCTTAAGTCACTTCACCGCCACTGTTGCTCGCTTGATAAAAAATATTCCGTATTTCGTGAATTTATTCGCTGCAATCTTTGTCACTGTTATTGGCGTTCTCTTTAAGCCTTTCGATAGTTTTTGTTAATCGAGCGTTCTCTTCACGTAGAACTTCATTTTCAACCTTTAGCCTGTAATTTTCATCCTCTAAATATTCAGCTCTTATCTGAGTCTCGAGTTCTCGAACGCGGCGCGCGTCCCTTGAGCGTTTAGCGGACGCATTATTCCGTTGTCTTTTTTCCCAGTATCTTTGATCTTTTCCAGTGATTGCCTCGTTCAACACATTGCCATTCTTGAAATCACCCCGTTTGCTACGGGATTTAGACGGGAAAACAATATGTGGATGTCCTGAGGAAGAAACTCTATCTTCACTTGATGAACTGGGCCGATCTCTTCGGGTAAATTCTTCGCTTGAATCTGACAGACTATCCGACTCGCCTGTCCTGGATGCTTTGTGATCTGCAACCTCGTCTCGCTCGGTCTCTCGCTCTCCGTCGTTCAGCAAAGACAGACGCGGATTCGAGAATGATTGCAACGAAACGACCTTTAAAATATTGTTAATCGAGTTCTCTCCAAAATAAGGAATTCGTCGCGCGTAAACAGCAGGATCGTCGTTTAGAGTAAGCTTATTGTACGTGCCCTTCGTTTTCTTCTCTCTTTCCGTGGTCGTTGAGTCATCCGAGCTATTACTTCGAGAACGTTTCCTCGCTCTACGCGATTCACTTTGACCTTCTTCTTCCATTGCAGAGATTTCGAGGATGCTAACTAGTGTATAAAACTTGCAAATTCCTGAAAGGCCCGCTCCAGACGGCTCAATGATATTCCTTCGCCCTTTGAAAGTGCAGTGAACGGGGAGCGAACTTATACCTTTGACACGCGATTATGTCATTTTGAAAAACAAGCTATTGGACATGCGCGCGTGGGATTAAGCAATTGATTGACACACAAAAGACAAGGCTTGTTATATAACTTATCTTTATCATGCAAACTTTTTATAAACCTATAGGAGCACGCAATCTATGTTTGCTTTGAACGTCACGTGTAGGTTTGGAGCAGAGTGGAAAATACAGAAATGGTAGACTAAAAGGTAATTTTGGTTAATTTCTTCGCCTGTTGATGTGCAAACAGCGAATGTTCCGGTTGAACTAGGCTATTTTATATCAAAGACACTTATCCGACTTCCCACTAAGTGAACCATTGTCGTTTTCCTTCGATATAGGTATTAGGGTAGTTTTAGGGTAATGGAGTGTATAAAATGATTTTATTCAGTCGTTTGTTGGAGAAAAACATTATGCATATTTTTACGTTCATATTGAACTACAAACTTTGACTCTGTTTACTTAGGACAAGAAATAGTTCTTTTTCCGGTTCATTGCTTTTGCGATTTATTTTTAAAGATTATTTTTTATCTTTTTAATTTCTTTTATATTGCTCAACATATTCCAGGATAAAAATCGTTCATAGCCCCTACTCCTGGGTAGAGTTTCGCGATTGCTTTTTGCATTAATCATAAACTTATTTGTCTGTTTCAACAGGAAAAAAACATCCATTTAACATAAATAAACGAATGCAAATGCTTCAAAAACAATACTTGAAGCAGCTGTCTCATCACCTGATTTGTCGACGTAATGAATTGTCAACGAGACATAACAGAATGTTTTCGTTAACTTTTAATCCCCACCAAGTGGAGTAAATGGCAGGTTTTTTCCACGTAAAAACAAAACATTCACAAATTTAGACACAGCCTTTAGTTTTGCATGCATATTACTGTATAAACGACCCTAACTACAACTTAAATACCCGGGGGGTACTCAATAAAGTTTTATACGGGGTGGCTCCTCCCTGAGGTCCAACCCTTTACTTTTTAATATACCAATTTTGACAGTAAAGGTACCTCTTTTGTATACCTTGTATTAACAAATGGTGCCCCTTTCGACTTCATACACTTAGATTAGAATTTTGTATCCCCTTTTTATACCTGCTGTAAATTCACTGTCTTGAAATATGAATAAATCACACAACGGAACCACAGAACGTTTTCTTGATTTTTTCACGGCCATTAAAAGCATCTGTTAGCTTTTTCGGGCCTTTATACATGACGTATTTCCCTATCCTTTCATATGCTTCAATTCAACAAGTGAAATCCCTACACTTTGATATGACATGAAAGCCTGAAAAAGGTACCTCTTTCGGGGCGAAGCCTGCCTGTATGGACCATTACAAGGAGTACCTCCCCCCGGCAGGGGTCACATGGTGTTGTAACAGGAGCCGATTGCGTGGTAACTCCCGGGGGGTACTCCCTTATATAGGCTATATTGGTATGTGCGGCGCCAAAAGGTATGGGTTTTAAGCCGTTTTGGTCTGAAATAGGGTATCAATTTGACCATTTTGGTCTGAAATAGGGTATGGTTTGTGCGCTCTAGTCTTGATTGGTATGTTTTTTTAGAAGAAGCTACTTCTTCGTCACTAGTTTTGTATCCTACATAATAAAAGCGCATAAACATTGCCTTTAACACTGGTCTGACCTAGGGAACTGATTATAAGGCAGGTCTGAAATAGGGTATTGGTTTTACGGTCTGGTTCGAAATAGTGTATCAAATTTTTGATCAGGTATGAAATAGGGTAGGGAAAACCACAGATTTTGGTCTGAAATAGGGTAAGGGTTTCAGGAAGCGTGCCGCACACCCCCCAATTTTTCTGGAAGTACCCCCCGGGTGTTGTAACCATATCCTCTTCTTCCTTTGATCATGTTTTGTACAGTAAATTACGTAAAGCTGATATAACTCTGACCACCATTGCTTGTTCTCCATTATTTACCAATAAGTGAACCAAGTCGTCAATCTAGTTAATCTTCGCTGTCCAACTGCTGAACGACTTCCTTTATCCTCTTTGCAAGACCCCTTGCGCAATAGTTCCAAGTTACATCCTTTCTAGAAAAATCTTCCCTGAGGTATAGCTACCATACCATAATGTTTGCGTGCATATCCTCCGGCCACACGGTGTGAATTGAGTGTGCAAACTGCTTTTTTTTTCAAAAATTTTATTATAGGAAGTTTCTTTTAGAACCAGCAGTTCAGAAAGATTAGTAGAGTTTCTCACTTCTGAGTACTCCCCGAGGGGAAGTCAAAAACGTTTTATCCGGGGAGGCTCCGCCCCGAGGTCCAACCCCTTACCCTTTTATATACCATTTTTGACGGATAAGGTACTCAGCCCCTTTCGTATACCTTCTATTGACAAATGATACCCCTTTCACATACCTAGTTAGGACCTTTTATCCCTTTTAACCGCTGTAAAGGCACTGTATTTACAGGACAAATAAATAAAGAACCAGAATGTTTTCTTGACTTTTTCATCGCCACAAAGTGCATCTGTTACCCCATTTTCAGGCCTGTTAGACCTATATTACAGATTTTTCTGCTCTTTTATATACTTCAACTAGGGAAATCCCAACCCATTAATACACCTGAAGCCTGAAAAACAGGTACCCCTTTCGGGCGGAGCTTTCCCCTAAACGCCATTACTAGGAGTACCCCCTCCCCCACCCTACTCCTCCCGTAGTATGAACAGTTAAATCCAATGAACATTATTTTATTCTCCATCCAATAAGAGAATGATTTTAACAATCAAGATTTTTACCTGTCTGGTGGTCATCTCCTTCATTCTATTGACTGTTGTTTTATTAAGCTGTATCGTTGTATGGCTGTATTTTTTTCCCAAAAGCGCGCGCTCTCATTGGTTACTTTGAGGTCACATGACATCTAACAATAAAACCCTTTCCCCCCAAAATCTCTGAGCGGGCAACATTTCAAAATCTATGACGTCAGAGGGTAACAGTCCACTAGTGTTACCCGCGAATGTTGACCAACGACCGCCATTACGCGAGGTTTAAGGAATTTCCAGCTTCGGGAAATATTGGGATTCTCGGGAAGCAAAATGAAGTTTTTCCCTTGGGACCAGTCATTAAGTGTTTAATGTTAAACGCCGGTCATTCTGGGACCCGCATGAGCTAAACTGCCTTATCTTTCAGATAATGTTGTCCAGCGTATGTCTCTATCGCAGATAAAACACGCGCGTATCGCGTATCGCGTGTTGCAAGCTGCGCAGACGTAGACAGGGTCCAAGGCAGAAAACACTGTTGGCGCATGCGCCAGAGTTGTTTTAAACATGTTCGATGATGGCCTAGTATCAGTTTTCATCCCAGCAATGGTGAAGATGGCGTAGAGACAGATATTTACATTGCGCCACCTTAACCGCCGGCCAGGCTACCGTCCAGGATGACCACAAAGACCTTCAAATGTTGAATCTTGATGAACTCGAAAAGAAGTGTGGGTCCAAAAAAATTAAATTTTGGTCCTCCTTAAATTGGAGTCCTATAAATCTTACCCCCCACGTCCCCCTCCCCGCCCCTTCACTGAATATACCCTCAGTAATGAAAGACCACTCCCTAATGTAAACTGAAAAATAGGGTTTTATGGGGGATTGTTATAATATTGCAGTGCGGAAGTGAGTGAAGCGACAAAGTTTACTATTGTCTTTCTACCCGCCAACGGTGAATCAGACGGCGCTTGTGGAATCTGAAGTGAGCTAGACTGGCGCAAAAAACGCAATGCTAAAAATTAGTTTTAAGAGAGACGGTGTTAGATTCGGAGCCTTAGCTTCATCCGGTGCGTCGTCGAAATGAATCTGGACAATAAATTAAAGGCTCTTCAACTCTTCTTTTTAGCTTGGGAACCTCTCGGAGTTTAATCTTTACTTATAAGCTCTACGGAATTGCGAATGCACCAGGCGGGCAAGTAGGGAAATGAAGTTTCTATAGGCTTTTCTTCGACGTTGAACTAATCGGCTTCGCCACAACGTTTGTTATTGTCTTTTTTTTATATAGGGAAGCTCTAGCTATGAGCCAGCTAAACTATCGCAAAGAAAAAGCATCGTTAAAATTCCGATATTATATTGCAGAGCACCTGTATTTGGAATCACCCTATACACTCTTCGTAATCCGCTTCGCACGGGATTCTCCAAATGTTTTGTATGAAGAAAAATATAAAGAAATAAAGAGCTCAGACCATCCTAGATTACTAACCAGATACTGCAATAAAAAAGATATGATATTTCATACTAAGCCTGTAATTTTGATAAAAGCTAAAACAAGTCTGGCTAAAGCTACCTTGTTATGAAACTATACCTAAAGATTACAAGAAAATTTAGTTATTTTGTTTGTTGTTAAGATTTTCCTGTTTCAAGTTGATTAATGCTAGTCATGTCTACAGATAATAAACGGGATTTAATAACATTTAACTTCTAAAGTTTCCAGCCCAGATTTGAGGGGACAAGATGACACTAAAGTAATAACCCATGCATTGCAATACGACTACGGTCTGCAATGATGAAAACCTCAAAACGACACAAGGCTGCCAACAATCATTTTCTTTCGCTGTGTTGTACTAGGAGACCACGGCCTGCCACGCGCACTAAAGAATTTTAAGAAAACTCCCAGCTTGATCCAGACTTCCAGGGTTTAGTAGAACTGATGCGAAAAAGGACGTTCGGAGACTGGAGAGAGCGAAGAGGCCTCACTCGTGCCCAGTAATTTGAGCCAACACGTATACGCTCGCATGAAACTCGTCCCCAGGGTGCTTAACGCTGGCTTTGGAGATGGGGACGAGGTTGGATAAATGAGTGTTCGTTGTTTTCTTCGCAGGCTAAACTAACTAATCGTTCAGTAATTTGTAGAGCCAGAGGCATTCCTCTGCGAAGGTTTAGCCTGCTACACAACCGTTAGTCCAACACTCTATTGAAGGTTCCGCCTTTGAAAGACTTCGTGAATTTGATCTAGAATCCGCTTTTAACCACAGCAAGACATAATGAGAAGAGCGATTACTTAAGATTCAAAACTGATGTTCCTCTTCGTTCATAGCAAACGGAATGGGTCATGAATGTTTTGCTCACTATAGAGAGGGGAGGGGATGGGAAATATTTTCAAGAGACACTCTCCTCCCCTGGGTCAAACAAATGAATGCCTCTTTGTTACCCGGGAATGTTTCTAAAAAATGCAAATCCCACTTTCTCAGAGGGTTAAATATACCATTAATCTTTGTTTTCAGAAAAAAATCTAGCTAAAACGTTAGGCCTAGAGATGTTTCAGTCCTGAAAGGATTTTTCGGAATTAGTTCTAGCGCTATTTGATGAATTTTTGGCAATGACATCCAAAACGATCGATTAACAAGCATTAAATCGTGGAAAGAAACATAAACATGACTTTTTAAGCCGTTGGTGAACTTACTACCTGATAAAAGCCGTCCTTAACCTCCAATAGCATTAGAAGCCAAAACCATTCGAAATTCCTTTTTGGAAAAATTCTGCAAACATATAGTGCTGTCTGACAGTATAACCAAAGAGGTTTTCATCTGAATGGTCACACCAAAGGATTTTCTCTACAGACTTGAAAGGTGGAACAGCGTTACGAGCGTCCATAATTGATTACGAATGACTGAAGAGAGTATCTATAAATTAGAGTGAAACATGCAAGTTTGTACTTTGAACTTTTCCCGCAAATGGGTTGTCCTAAAATGAAACAAGATATCCTCTTCGTCTCCCGTTCCCTTTGTTTTTCTCTGTTTGGTTTTACGAAGGTCCTGTGTAGAATGATACAAATGTATAAAAATATATTTTACAAATCCGATAATCACGAAGGCGACGATTTGCGGTGCTTTTAGCTTGATGTTCAAGGTCGTGAAATCCGCCCGATTTATATAGATTTTTTAAAAATACTTCCGTAATAAAGTTTATCCTTGGGGCTTTCTCGTTTTTCGTCTACAGAAATTAATTTACCTGTTTACAGCATCTATAAATGTTCATAGATAGGACTTTAATTCTCTCTCCTTGACATATTTTTGAGTATGTGAGATACTTTTAAGTTTCTTTACAATAATTCCCCCTTGTTATGCTCAAAGCCCATTGAAGATTCAGAATTCGGTCTCAAAAGGTCGACATTCGTACTGGCCTTACTCAAGGATACAAGTAAAAAATCATGCAATGTTTTTGTGGGTTATTCTAAACGTAAAATCACTTAGTGGAATTACATAAATGAAATGAAGATAACAACACAGAAGTAGTCATTCCTATGATCTCGGTTTTTTGAGTTTATCTTGTCTAGAAATCACTTATTAATAAATTGATTACGTCTTTAATGAGAAACACTTCCTAGAAATGAACATTGGACGGCCGTCAGAAATTTTATACCCCGTATTAAATTCTTGATTTTTAAAAGAGTGTTCTTTCAACACTGCTCCAGCTNCGGGAAAATGCATGCGAGCGCGTCACAATTGGCTTTGGTTTTACTTCTGATTGGATGAAAAGGTGGCGCGAATCTTTTAAGCCAATCGCATCGTGTAGAAAGTGCAAAACCAATTACTTTTCGACACTCAAATGAAAACCGCTCTATTAGCACTATTAGTTTTCTTTAAGTCTTGTGTACTGAGTTTATCCTCTGAGCTTGTGGCAGTCAAGGGTGTCATAGACTGCTTTATTACTATTATTAATTATTATTATTATTATTATCATTATCATTATCATCATTATCTATCATTATCATTATCGCTTCTTTACTATTATCACTACTATTATAACTATTATTATTATAATTAATTATGATCGATAGACTTGCGATGAGTTTCAAAGAAACGGATGTAATTCGATTTAACATTCCAATTTCTTTTTCCGACACCTTCTACGGACGAATTTAGCCTTCAAACTACACCATCGCGGAACATATCCGTCCTAATTTGTCTAAATGTTAATACTTCCTGATTATCAATCATTTACGGCTTGGGATTCTCGCGATGTTTGTTCCTAGAAAGTGAGTTGAGATTCATTAAAATGGAAGGAGAAGAACAAGTCTTGAAAACAGAGTGATGCCATTTCATGTCTCTATTGTTTTTAATAAACCAAATGGTTAAAGTAAAAATGAAGTTGTACTGCGTGATTTTTGACTCTCAGTGCACGACGTTTTAAAGCTTCTTATTGATGACTGCCCCCCAGAATTCAACCCTCTAACATGCAATGTGTTTCTAACTTTTGTTTTTACAGTGGTTACTGATTCTGTACTTTCGTAAAACCAAACCAGATGAGCTAGATTGTTGATACTACTTTAGGGGCTCCTCTCCAATTTCAATACATTTGGTAATCGTAGGGTTAGATGGCAAGGTATTCTGTTTGTTCAGCAGTTATATACCTGACAAATATTACCCTTACGAGGGCTTTGATCGCTTATCTTGGAAGTAAATACCACTTGATTACGTAATAGTTAGATTTTTCCTATTTGAAAATAAGTTTTGGCTCATATGCAGAATATTTGAGTATATGCTGAAACAATTATTTACTTCAATATCTGTATCAAGACACAAATGCAAATGTCAAATTAAGCAAATCGTGACCCAGCGTCGTAATTCAATTTGAAAGATGAACAAACTGAGGAAAAAAAACTGTTTAAGCTTAAAAACAAGATTTATCAACACTGACAAATTGCCAAATCACTTCAACTAATTAGGGAACTAAACGGAAGAGTTTCTCTTGCAAATCAACTGCCTCGCTGCAAAATGTTTGAGTCAACATTTGCATGGAACATGAAGTCAGTCTGAGGGAATTCTTATAGATGGTATACTTTCCAGCTAGCAAAAAAATTGGCACACAGGGGATGATTTGACTTCAAATTGTCGTGCGTCGATTGTCCATGTTTGGCATAGGTCGTGTGGGAAAATGTCAAATGTTAGAAAATAATTGAGATTAATTACTTAATAGATGATCGTTAACAATGTTGTACGTTGTAAATACTAAGTACTTGCCTGCTTAATCTTCCGTAATTGGGAGTGCGAATTGTTGAGGAAGTAATAGCGTGCAAAACAAGCGATAAATCTGATGAATTTAAGCTGGGTGGATGGAAGTTAGCCAGACCACAGAAAGAAGGGTTATTCTACAAATCCTACAAATTAAGCATTTCTTAAACTACACGTAATCAACAAATTGGGCATTCAGTTTATCAAACGACAAGAATTTATCTACAGGCTTACAACTATTTCGTGCTCGGTCCGTAATCGCGAGAAATGAGCTAGTTTATAAGCTGCCTCGTCAATGCATGAAACTGATAACTTGACGGTCAATAGGGATTTCACAATGCAGAGGAACTAGGTCAAGAAATGAGACCACTTTGCTCTTTTAAAAGTTCATAAGATTGTGGTCGCTTTCGCTTCAGGTGCTAGAAAAAGGTGGAACATCGAAAGTGAAAGGGAAACCGCGGTATCTAAAAACAAGATAAATCACTTGATCTTTTTAAGGACCCTTCATCTGAGGGGCGATAAAAAAAAAAAGGTTTTTAGTGAAATGAGAGTTCAGACACGTAATCTGGACAAAAAAAGAAAGATTTAGGAAGATAATTTGTTTTACGTATTTGAGTGTTTGTTAGAAGAGGTACTTAAATGATTAAAGATGCTGTGTTTTTTACAGAAAAACAAGGGCGAAGTGATATGCTGAGTCTAATCGTAAAAAACCGAAGTTTTAACTCTGAAATATCAGCAAAACCGACTTAAGCAAGAAACTTTGGTTGGATTCAGCAGATGTAGGGAGAAAAATGATATTAAAAAGAAAGAACAAGGCCTTCGTGACTTGAAGCCAAAGTGCCTATTAACCGAGTCACCCCAGTCGAATTGCAGGAGGGCAAGAGAAGAGTGGTTCCCTTGCAAACGGAAGTATTTTGGGGGTGATGGAAAAATTGGATTGAAGGTTGAAAGTGTAGTTCCAGTAGGCCTCTAAGAAGAGCGTAATCAACAGGTCACGAATTTGCTGGTGATCGAGTTTAAGAATTGATTCGTTGGTTCGACAAAAATTCTGATGAAATCACGTTAATGACGAGCAATGTTCATATTTTTGCACCCTTATACCTGTGTGTGGCAGCGCACAAAACAAATGTACTTTTTTACACCCAGCAGAATAACGCTATCTGGGTACTGGGCGGCTCGCTTGGTAATGGGATGACCTCCTTCTTCGTGTATAAAATTCTTGACGAATCAAGAATTGAACACTTTACTTTAGTGCTGTTTAGCTTGATGAAATCATATGGTGTGACCATTCAAATGAAAGCTACTGAGCAGTACTTTACTTTGGTACTGTTTGTTATGCTGTACAAGGTGGTTTTAACTGTTGAGTATGTGCATGAAATCCTATGGTTTGACCATTTAAATGAAAGCCACTCAGCAGTACTTTCCTGTGGTACTGTTTATTACGTAGTTTATAGGGCTCCAAGTGTGACCCGCTTATTGCATTAAACTCCTTTTGTGCCATCTGTGTTTTAATCATATTAATTTACATTTTTTATATTAATATCAATTTGATATGAAACACATCATCAGAGTCAGTATTCAGGAAAAGATAAGATTAAGTTACGATACTGCAATGTGTTGACTCATTGAGGTGATGGTAAAATTCCAAATTTCGAGTCTTGAGATGAAATTCTATAAAGTTACCACTCAAATGAAAGCTACAAAGCAATAACTTCCCGTGATACTGTTTATTATGAGCTGTACAACTTTGAGCCCGTGGTGAAATTCAATTTCGTCCGCTCTAAGAGTGTAGCTCTGTTTTGTTTGGCATTATTTCATGCATTTTTTGGTACACTATTTCAGTAAAATAAATCTGGGTATATTTTTTATGAGTTTCATGACACATTTGCAATTTTAGGCTCGTGTTTTTATCAAACTAAAGATATTTTCGTTCTCGTTTAAGAGCACTAGACAACATTGAGATATGTGATAAGGTAATTCCAGTCGGAAGAAATTTAAGTATACATCATATCAGAAACAAACATGCAAGGCCGGAAAAAATAAACAAAAACCGCTATAAATAACGCAAAATAAACGAACACAATATATCTAAAATGCAAGAATAGGTCAAGAATAAGGGAGGCCGCATGCAAAGAAAGTCTTCGTTGCAGGTTAATCTTTGTCAGGACAAGCAGAATTGCAATCCAGTTGATCCTAATCTATTATCACAAACCGAATCACCCTTTAATCCAGTGTGTATATATTTTTCTCTATCAAAATAAATCATAAATTGCATATGGTTACAATTATTTCTTGAATATTGTATTTAGTCAATAGCAGTTACTAGTAAACAGAACTGCCGGCTGTAGCATACTTTAAATTTGTAAAAAAAAAATTTAATCAGTATATAACTGTTTTTCATTTCGCGGGCTTACTTTTCCGTCACAAATTCCCCACTGATTTCACACACGCGGTAGTGTGCTCTGTTTTTCGAGGTCTGTAAAACACAAGTGAAGCCGGCAGATCATAGTTTTATTTCATACCTACGAAAGTTAATCAGATCAAACTTGATTTCATCCGCAAAATAACAATCTTTTCCCTTGCTAAGTAAAGTGTTAACAAGAATTTTTAGACCTTCTTTGGGGCGTTAATTTCTCGCCATTAAAAAGAAAAGAAATTGATTTTTGTGAATGTATGTTTGGCCGGCAGTGTTTCCCGAAACATTCATGAGGTTATCTCCACAGCGAAACACAGACTACCGTTATCGTAACAATAGTAAACATTTTGAGCCGGCACTATTTCAGCTAAGAAGGAGGCTAGATAAACTAAATCATCTTTACATAACAAGTAAACTGTCTAGAAGTTGAAAACATCTTTTTATTTTGCCTTCACAATTAATCGCTTGGCAAAATCCTTAACGTGAGGGAAATCTGAGAAAACTGGCGAAATCTTTAATCATTTCAGCCGATGCTTCTGATCAAAACATTCGAGTCTCCTTTGAAATTAACTGCATAAATCATAGCACTAAATCGAAGTGTCTCTTTGGTAGGATGTTGTTCCCAATTCTTATAACGACGTTTATTCTTGGGGACAATATTATGAACGTCTCTAGCATTTCACAAGGGCGTTGGCTGGTATTGATTATTGCAAATTTGGGGAAAAAAGTTTTCCCAAAACATTTGTGCTGCTGCATTAATTGATTATATGTTCCACACACGATCGAATAGTATTAGCCATCACTCTGTCTCCTATAAGGGTCCTAATTTTCTATAGAAAACAACAGAAATACGTCGTCAAGCCATGTCGTCATTGTAAATAGTTCATACTAAAACATGCCGTGATTGGCGCCTCTGTAAAAACCACAATTCTTCAATCCGAGACGGTCTTCGTCAACAACGATATCACCAAAAATACATTACATGAAATAGTTTAAACTGTGTCCCGTCTTAAGCTTTACCTAAAACAGGTGGAGACTATCAAAACAAACAAATATAGTTACCTACGTTGTTCCTAATGAACAGCTCAAATATCTCAAACTAATAGACAATTCTCGACAGACGTTTCGTATATGCAAACATGCTAAATACATTATGTATTTAAATCTTGTCCCTGGCGAGCGTCTACTTTTTTTGTTGGCTTATGCTGAAGGGAAATACTAGTTGTGGGGCTTTCAAAACATGATGCATGTGTTGAATGTAAATTTTAGGAATGCGAGTAGATGAGTTTTTAAATGGATGAAATGGGTGACTAGTTCCAAAAAACAAACAAACGATAGCTCACCCTTTTTGTGAAATTGTGACGTACTTCTCACATAACCTCAGCTAATAAAGATGGAAATGATTTTTTTTAGAGAATATACGGAGATAATTATTACCAGTAGAGATGGTTTATTAGTATCCAAAGAGGTTTTAAAAACTTGACTTGTTAAACTTTGATAGCTCAGTTTTCACTCTATAATTTTACCTTCACTTTACTTAGTTTCGGGGGCTTAAAATAGCCTTGACGAAATAAGAGAAAGCTCGCTTTTTACAATCGAAACATCTAAAAAGGGTGATAACAAAACACTTTTTTATATCCACATACCAATTCTCCGCACTAGTCTCCGCACTTTTACTTAAAGAATATAGTTGAGAGAATTCGATAAAATGTACTATGCATTGACTTCAAGCAAGAGTTCAAGAGTTAACTGTTGAACAGAATTAGAAACAGACATACGGCAGACATTAAGCGTCAGAGATCGTCCTTTGAGATACAATTCTCGCTAGAAATAAAAATATATCTCGGTTTTCATTTTATTTAAGCTGAGGCGGCGTCAGAACGCCGAGCGATTGAATTAGGCGACACTGTAGGCGAGTGAGAGAAGAAACTTGACCGTTGTAAAGACAAAGAAGAGTGATTATGATTAGGAAGATTGAACTCAGTAAGTATTTGACGTGATCCTTTCGGAACATGTACCGGTAAACGAAAAAAACAAAACAAAACAAAACTTGACCAGGAACACAGTGGCCTTCTGAAGAGTGGGTTTGGTAGAAGGGAAGGAGACGGATAAAAGATACATGACTATTTCAGTATAAGGCGGTATGCGTACTCTTAATACGGCTGGACAAGAATAAAAACTTGGTTAAGTTGATTGCGTAAATCGCGTTGGGACTCTCAGCTCGCGTAGATCTCATTCATTTGAAATATTCAACTATCAACATTGAAATTAAGTAAACACCCGCATAAAAGAAACGGAGCGGATTATATAGCTCGGTGATATTTGGCCAATAAAGTACGTCATAGACAAGAACCAATTCAGCCTGACAAATGAAGAATGTGTCTACATGAAAAACGGTTAGGTTTCTAGTGTGTGCTTTGGGCAATTACTAACATACAATGTGTCGGTTAAAAAAAATATCCATAACTCAGGCTCAAAAAAGGGATTGGATTTTCCGGAGTGGATTTGCCTAAATTTCCGGGGGGACAAGTGTGCCTCGGCTAAGAAAACAAAGTCGAAATCGTATAAGGATTAGAAAGTTTAGCGGCGATTAAAAGTGGTAATTTTATAATATTCGTGACCAGAGCGTCGAAGATTCTCGAAGTGATCATGAATTCCTTTGAATGATTTTAACCGCATAATTGTTTACCTCAAAAAGTTTCAAGCAAAGTACAGCCTGTTCCAACCCATTGGACGGTTACTTTAGGTTTAACTTCATTATCTCAAGGGATGATTTCACGTTCTTGATTGCCTTTATCACTCATAGCCCTCATTTGGCCGAAACTGACTTAAAACTTAAGATATCGTCAGCAAGACTAGAGTCAAATTAAGGAGCCTTTTCTCCTAATTGTAACCATTCTAGAGATAAAAGGTTTACTATTAACAGCTCGTGTAAAAGGAATTAAAAGTCTAATTCTTTTACCTGCTTGTGAAAGAAATAATTGAATTATTTTCTATTGTTGAAAGAAAACCATCAATTCATGTTTTCTGAAGATTCGCTTGCAAGGGATTTAGAATATGGGGGCAAGTTGTGTAATAGTAACGTTTGATTAAGTTTACAGACAAAATGCTTTTTGTATGTTGTGACCATTTAAATGAAAGTTACTGAGTAGTTACAAGGTGATTCTTAGCTCCATTTTGTGTTACCACTTAAATGAAACCTCTTCAGCAAAATACTTATACGTTTCTATTTGTTTTAAAAAAATTATCGAAATTTATCCATGATTATTGCATTTTTTTTTTACTTTGACTTAGCCAACTTTTGTGCCGTGTTAAACGGTTTAGCTCTTTGGTTTTCAAGTATTGACCAGTGAATTTGTGGGTTTTTTTGGCAATAATTGTGGTATTGACTCAGTTTGAAGAACTAAACTTATCGACTTTTCAACTTGTTGGTATTCAAACTGCAGGTTAATACATCATAGACTAGACGGGCGAAATAATTAAACCCAATATTTTAATTAAAGCATTAATTGTGTTTTAAAACCTTAGAACTGAACCGGCATTCTCTAATTTTAATCTCGAGGAAAAATTCTTCCGAGCGAGACGTATATAGCGTAGTCCAGTTAATTTCTTATATTTTCTTTATAAAAGTCGTGGTTATAAGATTCTGTATTTTATACTTTGGAAAAATTCAGTCCACTCGGGCGATTTTTTTTCTAAGCGTGCCAAATAAATTTACTTTAATTAATATCATTGTGATATCTTGTAACGGAAATCTTCGTCGTATTGCTATATCCATAGCTACAATAGTCTGGCTAAACTAACAGTGAAAGAGACGGAATTATGGCCTTCAAAAAGTACAAGGAGACTGGTCCAATAATACAAAAAGACATGCTCATTTTTTACTGAGTTCTTTTTTAATGCCGGCTCTTTTTTGAAAACTGACCATATACGTTAACCGATTACACAAAAAAACATCTATAATTAGTACACCCGTTAAAAACTTGAGAGCTACTTCATTTTTTGCCAATAGCTTAGATCAACCGCAGACAAAACTAAAGAAAGACTAACCGCACTGATTTTCCAATAAGAGCCCATTATGGCTCTTGTTTTCCAAACATGGACACTGTGTATTTACTACGGTGATCACTGTACACTCCTACATAAGAGAAAAACTGCTATTTTTTGCTAATAACAAAAAGGCAACAGAGAGTCTCACCGCAAATGAGGTTAATGGAAGACATTGCGTCATAAAAGTACAACATGCACACACACGTTTTTTTTATCAATAGCACAACCGGAACTTGAGCAAAGAGAAAGAAACTACTTTTAAGCTCGAAAATGAGGTCGAAGGAAGATCAAAAGAGACGGAAACTTCATTTTCTCCCGCGACGAAAGACGTGTGCATACGATTTAAAAGAAACTCCTCATCGCCATCAGAGGAAGGACTGAAAGGAGACACGTATCGTAACATTACAGTGTAAAAATAGAAGGAAAAACATTAAATTATACCATGAATAAACAAAGTCGAGTAAATATTTATAATGCAATTAAGAAGATCGGCAAAAGCGGGGCACGGGTTAAATTGACTCTAGAATTTTTTTCTTTGCAATTTAATCATGTATACTAAATTCCTTTCGTAGTTGCCAGCCTACGTCATGCGATGGGACCGGGAATCCTATCTTTTGAGTCTGCAGAAGAAATCCTTTGAGAGGACAAACTTCCGAATAAAACTTTTCGAGTGGTTCTTTTCTCTTGTGCGTTAATCCGCCCCAAAATTCATTTAATTAACCAACTTCGTTGCACTGGAAGAGCCAAAAAGGCTTATACTTCAAAAGAGAAAGGACACAAAAGCCAACGACTTAAATTCAACACGTTTCAATATAGTAATTTTAATACACGCTAATTCTGTCTTTACACGATATGCTGTCATGTCAACTGATATGATCGTCTTCGGCGTATCCCAGGTCATAACGTGGGCGCTTTCTGCAGATGTGAGCAGACCAAAGTCGGTATTCAGACGTTTTCTCTTTCAATATTTGCAGGGCCGATTAGCTCTTCAGAAAAAACGAAAAGTGAGCTTGATCAGCGTACTGACTGTGGCGTCCGACTTGGGGGATATCTGCGCGCTTGCACGTTCGTGTATGTATGCACAATGCAAGAAATAAAACCGATATGAAACGGAGATACGGATGTTATTGCACGACTTATCAGTCTGTCGAAGTAAAAATGGGTCACTGAACCACGGAAGTTCCCCAAGTGTAGGAAATAGCGGAACAATTTTGCAAACATTGGGCTATCTATCTTGTGGTGTTATGTGGGCAAATAAACAATTTATTAATAGCGGGAAAAATTCCGAAGATACCTTACTGAACCACTGCTTTTTGTCATAGTGGATTTACAAACCCTTAACATCAGCTCAGACCGGCTAATAATTTTCCCATTAGTTAACGAACAATTCTTGATCTTCACCGCCAACACGAGAGCGAAAAATTAACCTGCACAAAAGCACGTTTTGTTCGTTTTTGAATGATCAAGTATGACAACTTATGAAAAGAGACTCAAGTGCAACGCTAAGTCCTTTTACTCTGGGAAAACATAAACATAACCCCTGAGAGTTTGTATGTCGTGGGAGAGATTGCTAGAGTAGCTGATTCTTTTTAAAGTGTTAAAAGGTTTGAATGAAAACTGGCGAATCGTGCACCCCCGTGATTCCTTCGTAATAAGATCAGTAAGACTATGCCACATAATTCGGCCAATAGATTTCTCTCGCATAAGCCCATGACCGTATCTTGTTTTTCGGTGATCGAGTGTTATTGCCTCAAGAGCTAACAAGTGTCATTCTTTGCAAAGGATGTTGTTCAGATATTGGGCAAAGTGTTCTTAACGTTTTTGGCTGAAAAGCGGAAAATTAATTTTGTTCTTTACTGAAGCGTGAGTGAATGTACAATAATATAAAAGACCGCCCTATGGGTAACTGGCCTCGTGACCTTGTCCAACTGAATTACGCCAAGTTACGTCGAAACACTTTAGAAATCCCTCCACTGAAAATTCTCGAGTTATTAAAAAATTCTTTCACCCGTCTCGTAGGCTTTAAAACACCATTAAGCGTTTTCTTGGTTCATGCGGTGTCTAAAAAGCCCCCATCCTGATCACAACAGCGCTGGTGAAAACACGCGAACTCTCTCCTGTAAACACGAGTAGTTCACTCACTAAGGCAAGTTTAAATGTGCCCTACAAATTGGGCTTTCATTATGTCATTTGCTATTAAACGAAGCTGTGGAGCGGGCTGGCGTTTGAACTCCATCTAGTTAATTAATGGCTTGTTTATTTTGCGTAAAAGCAACGCAGGAATAACATAAACTCTCGCGTTTTCATACACAACACAGCGTGTCAAAAATGCCACCTTTGCGCACAGCATGAAAATGAAAATGAAACAAAGGGATGTGTTGTCCCGTGTCAGCGAAGATAAAACACATTTTCAACGTTCAATAGCGATCTGTCACTTGCTTATTAATAATACTGAAAAAGGAGTTTTCTGTGTAAACTTCATTTGGCCGGAAATAACATCAAAATTTCACTGTAGAGGTAACTGACCGCTAATGAAGCAAACTTACCTGGAGGCGAACGAGTAAGCAGAGAATCTGAAGAATTGCTACCATAGCTCTTGTCTTGTCCTCCATTGCTGAAGTTGGCTCCTTGGCACTGAAGTTCTTTACGTCGCTACACAACACTCTTTGCCTGTTACAATCCAACTGAACGAGCCAGTCTAGAACAGTGGCTTACAAAGCGGATCCAAGCGCCAACTAAATCCCTGTAGCGGATATTGTGTTACAGCCACACTATAGAGAGACAAGTTCAGTAATCGTTTTTAAACAAAAATATCACCGACCATTACGAGTAATTGACACTGTTTGTTTAGATCAATAGTCACTGACGTTCAGCTTTTGCAAGTAGGCGACCTGGCGTTTATGGGTTAAAATCCGCTTTTTTTCCTTAATCGGTCACTAGTCGCGACTGTCCAATCCTAGCAGCTAGATTCCGACTGACTTGAGCAATAATGCACGATAGACGAGCACTGCAAAGGCAAATGTTCGCGATCTTTTATCGCTGAGCGCATTCCTACTTTCCTTATCTTAACGACTTCTGTAATTGTTTACAGGAGCGTAGAAATTGGTGCCTTGCTAAAGAGATAAGGCACTAAGGCTTTCCCTGCCTAATCAAATGTCAAACCAGACAAAATTCCCATATTTCTTTGTATAAAATGTTGAAAAATAATAAAAAAGAGCATCAAAAATGCAAAGTCCAGAAGAACATCGTGGTCCGATTTTTCATCCTAAGGAACATTACACCAATGTAAAGAATGTCTATGTTTATTTGTGACCACAAGAAGATCTAAATCTACTCGTGTTTCGTTGTAATTAATTTAATGGGTAAAAGAGTTTGATGAAATTATGATGCGATCAGCTTCTGCTCCTTTTTAAAATCTAAAATACGGAACCAACATTAAATTAGAAAACAATCTTATTTGTTTGTCACGCACCAAAACGCATCTACGCTATCATGTGTCACTGAGAGAAATTGAAATTCGCACATTTCTGACTTTCTAAAAACCCAGGGTCCATAAAATGAGTTCAGTTCTAACTTAAAAGCCAGCAAACGAAATTCTATGGAGTTACCCTTCAAATGAACCTCAAAGGCAGTATTTTCAAATGGTACCATCTATTTTTTCAGTGCCAAGTACAAAATGGAATTTGGAATTTCATCAGTTTTAATTTATTTATAGAAACTCTAGCAATGAAGGATTAAAGCTCTCAAGTGTTCGTGGTCAAACCTTGTTCAGTTCTTTCCGCAACACCTTTCATCACAAGAACAAAGAAACTGGCTCTTCTGTAAAGACAACTGATCTGATGTTGTAACAGGTTCTGCTAATCGGTACTATAACAAATACAAGGATACAAGTGCGGCAAATATGCATGTTTATATTGGTGCCTTAAAGGAATACTTAAGAATTGAAAGAGTTGCTTCCATTGTGAACTGAAGGCGCCGGAAGACTTAAGAAGAAGCCAGGCTAATAACGACAACGCGTTACGCAGAAACTGACCAATGATATGGTTGACTTTTGATTTCAAAAAAATTTTCTCAAGTGTTGACGCGAGGGGTAATCGTCTCTGAAAGTTTAAATGAAGAAGGAAATAGAGTATTTTAAAGCCTTTTCTTTCGAGGATCAGACAATACTAAAATAGCAAACAAAAGCCTAAGACTGGGCTATCACGTGTTCTTTTTGTAAGTAAATGGAGTGTCCGCCATTCGGGAAAGTTTTCACAGACGGGTGAGAAAAGCCTAGTTCTATCCTATCGCCCACACAACATGATATTTTATTGTCGGCTTTAAGTAAACTTTATCTCTCCTATGCGAGAGATAAACGCCATAAAGATTAGTTGGCGGAGTTTGGCGTCGTAGCAGAGAGATGCTAAGCCGAAAATTCCTCGACTCGAAAAAGAGTAAAACTGTGGGCCTAAGAGGAATATCTAGCGGTCGTCGGCAAACACTTATATGCTGATAACCAAGTTGCAGGAAAATACAACTACGCTGAAATGAAGTCATAAAGTAAGAATTCGTCTGTTCTTTATCTTCTTCCGTATCTAAATCCCACTATAGTTACACCATGTTAGTTCAATTTGCAACTTTCGGATGGGAAACTACGATATAAACAGTAACAAAATGTCGACTTCTGTATCTTTGGCTAGATTCATAGTCTTTAGAATACTTTCTGAAGTATGCCCTATTTTGACGACGTTTTCTGTAAAGCTTTCGATGTATGTCACGAGCATGCTTAAAACTATTGTTAGATTACTCAAACAAGAGCTTGAGTGTGTAAATTCGCTAATCTACGCGCGCCCAATCAAATTATAAAGCACAGAAACGTTGACAAAGACTTGAATTGCGGAACTTTATGAACCAGACACGAGATTTATAGTTGATTAGGCAATTGAATTTTTGTCGTTGTTTGTCAGGTATTGGAATTTCGACCGGAAATTTTTTGCCATAGGTACTTGCTTTCTGGATTTTCCATTTCACTTCGAATGACCGTTAATTGCATTTAATATGCAAATATTACGACATACAAATGAATACCTCAGTCGACAATACGTATCAGACTGATTGGGCTTTGCACTACTTAACAACTGATAAAACCGTATAAAACGTACTTACTGGCTTAGACTTAAAATTGTCACTTTTTGTTGTAGCTCTTACTATCGTTCCACTGCCCTAATATTCACACTCTTGAAATATTTTCCGCTGAAAAACAAGGACGTTCTCAAAAAGACCAATTGGTTATTAACCTTTCGTTGGAAAAAAAAGGAAACAAGGGGCATAAACCATGGCATGAACATTGACGCCACCGTTTAGGACCAAACAGTAATGAGGTGTTTTGGGTTTTGAACGCGTGCCTAACCGCGTTTCGCGTGCGCCGCCTACGACTTTACGGGTCTGTCGAAAGGCAACTTCCGCCTTTTAAGCTTTGACGGCTGCCGGTGAGTTTTCATCGTATATAATTCTTGAGTGATGCAAAATTCACAGACAAAGTTCAGTTAGTTTTGGTTAACCATATGATAAAATAAACCCAGATGGTTAATTGCTGACTGACCTGAACTTAGGCGTTTGTCGGACCGACAAATTTGGAAGCCTTTTTGGTATCTGAAAAATTCAACCGCTCTGAAATCCCTCGTACTGTTATTAAAACCACTGTCAGTTTATAAAACTTTACAGTTATTTCTTTTTAGCGACTGTATGAAGATAAGATAATTAAGTTATGAGTTGAATAGTTAGCCCTTGAAATGCCAAGGCTGCCTTAAATTACCATTTTAAAGTACTACCCAGCAGCTGTCAATGAATAGCCACACTTTAGCATTTCATACATAGACTCAAGTTTGGACAAATAAAAAGTCATGTCTTACTCAATAAATGCAAAATGAAAAAGTTAAGCATTCCACGGCAATATTCATTTGGGGATCCCGCAAAACTCATAGAAATGTAGTTATTTTCCTCTTTGAATTGCAAGTTATGCCGTTACTGTAGTGCCGATTGCAGTAAATGTCACCCAAGTCTTATCAACGCTTAAACTGTTTGAAATCGAGATATACAACTTATCTTTGACATAGATCAACATGCAGCATGTCTCACTTTGCAAACTTCTCGTTATGTTTATTCTTAAACCCAGAAACTAATTCAGTTGTTGATCAGCGCTTCTCAGTGAATCAACACGACAGAGGCAAATATTTTGTCGCAAATATAGTTCAAAAATTCCAAGCAGTTCACTAAAGGTCTGTAACCATGGAAACAACTGGGTCGTGAAAACTACTGTAGCAATTTTTTTTAAAGATAACTTGGCAATTAAAGCGATTAAGAAAAGCAGAAAGGCTACCAGACGAGCTTGAGAGAAAAAAAGCGCGAAAAGCCGATTTCCTTTTTGGTGGAAAAATAGAAATGGAGCGGAGTTGGAACATAAATAGAACTAGTAACGTGCAGACAGATATGAACACGGAGAGCAAAAAATTTTCCTCCCCCCCTCCCCAAATAAAAGCTACCTCTTTCTCATTAACCCCACCTATCCCTCCCTTCGTGAATAAAAAGTTGAATCATTTATGAAACTAAGTCACGACAAATACATCGCATCGCCAGACAACGACAACATGAATACATGTTGATAGAATCACGAATGACTTTGTCCAAGAGCCGATTATCATTTTTCGTTGGCCTCAATTAGTTCGTTAAGACTTCGATAGATGTCTCCGTCTAGGTAAAAGGCAAAGAAAGCACAGGTTGAAATTTGAAACTTATGCTTTCTAACATTAAACACTCCTTTACCCTCGCAAAAGCGTCATCGTTTGTTTTTATGTTATTTTACATGGCTACAGTACTGTAACAGTGGTTTAACAAACCTGACCTTGTCAGTGAATCCTTCGATGTAAGAGCATTCAACGCAAAACTCATCTGAGAACAGCGGCTTTCGAATGGAGCTACTTATTTGATGAAATTTTCCCAAGTGATTTCTTGGTACTTTTGCTAAGACAGAAGCCATTTGGAGTGATAAGTAGATGTTTCCGGCCCTTTTTTGCCTATTGATGCATACCGTGACGCAATTGCAAGTCACTGACAAGTTAGGACTACTCAAGCCGTGTGTCTGATGTGTTAATGACCAGTGTTCAGCTGTTCTACTTACGAATGGTGACGATGCAAACTAGTCAAGCCGATTCACACTTAGATAGTTTTGAAGACTTGTTCAATCAATCCTTTTGGTAAGCCTGTTCGATCTCAAAAATGAATATCACTTTAAATACTTTTGTGTGTTCTACACCCAGTGTTATTGCTACTGTTACGGAAGCGAACAAGGAACTCTATGAGCGTTTTCTCAGCACCGGTTTCGATATAGGCTCGATTACCAGCCGCTGTTCGGGAAAATGAGCCCACACTCGAGGATCAAGAAGACCAGACCCGGGAGACGGCGAAAATCGAGCCTAGTTTCAATACACTTCAGACTGATTTCTTATGATGCTACATATTTATGAAAACAATTTGTTTCCAATCGAGGAAACCTATGTTAAGAAATCATTCTCTTTCTTCTCCTGAAATTTACGTGTGATCATTTCATCGTGTAAAATGCAAAAATTGAATATTGGTCAGTGTTTAAAATTGATGCAATGACAAAGAAGAATATAACTACGGCGCAAAACAGAACGATCCAATCTCCTTTTAGCTTCTTGTTTTTGTTTACTTTTTAAACTGTCGTTTGCGAAACTGGCTAAGTATTACCCTTCTTCAGAGTTAAGAGATGCTTATTTATGCCGAGCCGGTTGCACTCGTAACCATGTTATGTATCAGAAAGAGACAGGGACCGGTTAACACGCGCGTATTATTTCGTAATTCTAAAACCTTTAATTTGATTATTTAAACGCACATGTTTAGATACACTGTTCGTGCTAATTAAACCGCAAAGGGAGCCAATAACCCACAGAGGGCAACATGCCCCATGCTTGGCCTCTGTCAAAGTGTTTTCATGGACCGGTTTATTTTTACATACATTTTAGAGAAACTTTTCTCGCTAAAACTAAACGTCACTAAAAGATAAAAATTCTATTTTCAGGTTTAAGGTTATGCTAACTAGTTTTCTAAACTCGCGCCAAAATTGTTCTAAAAATAGACCAGTCGGTATGACGTCTCAACGCAAGTACGTAGAAGCTGCTTGCTCCGGGCAGTACCACATTTACTCATGTGATCCTCACCCAGGTGGATTAGCGGATGTTTATAAACCGACAAAACCCTAAGCTAATCTTCAAATTCAGGAGCCCATCACGTCAAATTAGAATTCCAGTGGTGAGAACAAAGATGCTGACTCTTTATAATACATATAACTACAAAATATCGACAACATAATTATTTTGAGATCGGTCTTCGTTGGTTTGTTTGTTGCTTCTGACACAAGCTTGAACAAGCCAGACAACAATGTTTATCGGGGGTGGCGGAGGATAGCTTCATTTTTCCCTTTACAAGAAGATAATGCCATCACTAAGAGGTTAGGAATGTCATTGAGGGCAAAGTGTCTCAACAAATTTTGTCATCGATTGTACCCTGAAATAGACGCTTTATGGGACGGTGAAAATTGATTTACAGTGATTTCAACGACTTCCTGGGGGAGAGATGAATCTTATCCATTGCAATAAACGTATATGATTGCGCTTTTGAAAACAAACAACTGGACGATCACACGAGCTATCTTAATATAGGAGTCTTCAAACGTTTCCCTCTTCAGTAATTCTACAATTCTACAGTTTATGAGAAACTGAACAGTCTTACTGTACGCCTTTGTAAAATTCTTAGCGTTTCCGATGTGATGTTAATTCAACGGCGGACTTAATTTCAAAATCATTTTCCTTAAATCACTGACAGAAATTACGCTAAATCATCTGTAAATCTTATCAGTAACAGAAAGATGCTTCCGATGTCTGGCTTTTTTGCTGAGATAATGTCTGGATGAGATTACTGAGTCATACCGTACTTATAAATATATTTTTTTATAATCCTCGAAAAACGCAGCTTTCTTGTGATTAGGTGTGGCCTTTACTTTTCAATTCAGCTATTCAAATGAAATTAAAGCTGTCATTCTACAATTCATGACGCTGAGAGAGAGAGAGAGAGAGAGAGAGAGATACCCTATTTTTGGTTCATTTAAGAACTAACAACATCGCTACAAAAATATGGGCTCCAAGTCAGGCATGGCCGTTGATGTCTTATGATTTACGAATTACAACGTTAAACGGCGCAACATGGACAGAGAAAAGAGCCTTAATTACTGTTTATGCATGCAAGATAAGCTGTTTTGAGATTCGTTTTGTGTTTTTTCTTTGTCCCAATATCACTGAAAATATGGGTACTTGCAATTAAAAACTTGACACTTTAATTTTCAGAAACAAAGGTTCTGATAACGCGCAGTTTGAAATTTGGACAACTTTAGCGTTTTATTAGCATGAGTTGAGAAAACTCTCGGAGAAAGCGTCTCTCGTTTCTTCTTGCCAAAACAGGAACCTTATAATATCCTCAAAGCCTCGTCTTTGAGTGGTCATCAACGCTGATTCGAATCTATTATAATCTATCTGCTCACAACAATGACGTAAGCTAAAAAACTCCATTCTTTCTGTAACTAGTAAAGTAGCCGGCTGAGACCTACGAGAGGCTGACGTTGAGATAATCGGATAGACTTTATATTCGGTTTACATCTGATTAGGTTTTTGTCAATAAATTTAAAAAGATAATCCCTCGCAAATGCTTAGCAATTCGGACGCAAGGAATTAAAATATATTACTGAAAAAAAAAAATGGCCCCCGCGTACTTTGCTGCTAGACAATCATGTTTTACAGGAACAGGTCGCTTTGTCTTAGTTCATGTCAAGGTCATGTATTCCATTTCTGGCTCCCTCTTAATCGCGTTACATGTAGAGGAAAATTAATGTAAACTACAATAAAAGTGCTTAAAAAGCGCTGTTTGAGATTACGTCTGGCTCAGATTGTGTAGCGGTGGAGATTTTTGGGTGTTGCATATAGATGCTGTCCGTTTTCCTAGTTCCATACGAGTCAATCACGTGAAATGATACCCTTTTCAACCTTTCCGATCATTAAAAAAGATCACTCTTCCCTTCAAATGACCTATTTAAAAGGCAACACTCAATTTCGCATTTCGGCTGAACGCAAACATATCAAGTTTCATCATTTTGACAAAAGTGTTGAGGTACCTTTCCCAGTAAAAGACGTGCAGGCACGCGTATCCAAAATTTACCAACTTGGCCAAACATCAAACAGTAAAAAACTTGCGAGATTTTCATGTTACAACATGTTGTTAGTTAAGAAAATATACGTATTGAAGATACAGTACTAGTAAGAAGCTTTTGTTTCAGCGGTGGACGCAAGAGCTTTAAGAATACATGTACTACGTAAACGGAAGTTCGATTCAAGAGCCTCCTCGCAAAATATAAAAAAAGACGCTGTTATTCTTGCCTTCTGATAGACACATAGCTCATGTATTACATCAGACATTAAAGTCTTTGTCAATGAAATTCCATGTAGATCAATATCAGTCTTCTATATGCCGAAAACGTCAGTTCCGATCCTTAACTATTCAGTGTATTTAGAATCACAATACTGTAAAAAACAACTGTACTTTTCCCAGCGGAAAGAACACTGAGATAACAGTTTTTTTTTACTTTGAATCTTACCTCACAGTCAGTGTATCGTGATCGGCTGTCAAAGTGTCGGTGTGTTTCCTGCAGAAAGCAATATATAGATTTTATGCTTTTTTGTTCATATACGATCCTTCTCCTTTCGACTTATCTTGCTGAAAATGTAGACAGCGACTGCCGTGGGAATAAAGTTGTGTTATTTGGGATTATGACCGTGTCTACCCTTCTTAACTTCATCCAACCCCTCCCACTTGTGGTTTTGTACAAATTACAAGTACAAAAAAGGGCATACTCTAGATATCAGTTTAATTCTGTTTTTTTTATGTCGCTGTCGTATTTGCCTTGTTTATCATCATTATTACAATAATAAAAATTAATAAGAATTAATGCGGTCTGTCGCATGCATTTACCCTCTTTGAAGCTACAGTTTCCCGGCATCATGCAGGCCTTGATCTGTTATCGTAACAAAGTCACGGCCTTCCTTATTAAGTACTTTTCAACACTTGCATTCGCGCCCCAAAGATGCTATTTCACAAGATAAGTTGCGACAATATTTTTTCAATACTCTCTAATCCGCAGATTTCTGTTTTTCACATCTCACGTACTCAATATCTGCCGACTAATCCGCACAGCGTTTACGCCAGTATATTCTTTGTTGATTGAATTATCCTATGGCGTAAGAAACCTCTCAAAGAATCATAAGGCCTAACACACCGTTGCGTGCTTCATCAGCGGAAAATAGTGACGTTTTAAGTGGAACACACTACATATAATGTTCAAAGTTTACCTTTGACGATGGCCTTGACTCCCTCAAAGATTTAGTATTGTCGTTGCTGTAGTTTTCTGGAATTGACTGGACTGTGAGCAGATAATCTGATGATTCCTCTATAGCCTCCAAAGCTAGACTGATCAAGTACTTCTCTGCTAGTAAGTATTTCTTGGCTAAAAAGAGGATTTGTAATCTTCAATCAATAAAGGTCAACTCTTGATTCCATCACAACCCCCAATGAAGTGTGGGCCCCAAAGAAGACAAACGCATTTCTTGAATTTTCTATTTCGCATACCCATGGTTTCGGTTTCACTTAACAATAAACGGAAATATAGGTTAAAAAACAATTAACCTCTCTTTGGAACTCTCTTTGTTCCAAACGACACGTTGATGTCTCTTCACAATATGACGTTAAATTCTGAAACGCTTTGCAAAATGAACTAATATGCGTTGGAGACCTCGTTGCTTCTTTCCTATTATTCTATTATTAGACAGCAAGTGAGAACCAATTCCCTTGTATTCTCTGCGGGCAAAGCGCAGCGCCTACAAGTCTAAATAGAAAAGCACTTAAAAGAAAAGATATGATTTATGACATAATTTTTCTATTCTCTGTAACAACAGACCACGCGTTAAATGGCCGGATGAATTCTTGTAAATGCCCTAATTAGCTACTGTTAAGTTATAAAGCGAGGAAGGTGCTTCAAAGCATTTTAAAAAGTCCGCTTAAGTTTTTCAAGAGGTTCATTAAAAACGCTATTTCATGTCCTAACCAGGTGATATTTTTCAAGTCCATTCATATTGAAAACTAATTTAAAGTCTCTCAAAGTCTTGTTTGCATGTGGAATATTGGTTAACTGCGCGGGTGAATATAAAGTCATATTAGACGAGATTAAAACAACAGACTTGCCCAGGCGTTAAGGCGTTAAAGGCTAAGCAAGTGTTTATACTACACTGGCAGCATGTTAGTTTTGGGCCCTGTTTCCGCCCAATTTTCATCTAGGCTTAGCACGGCTCCCGAAAGACGAAATTGAAACAACACAGTATAATCCGCCAACAGCAAACATTGGCTTCATTGTTGACAAGTTAATGATGAATCATTTTTTTCTAGTCATGCTTGATATTAGAGAGACCATTAAAGAAAACTCGTGATTTTTTGCATGACGTTATACTTCCTGGTCGAAGGGTTAAAATGGCGATGAAGTGTAGACCTTGGTCCGGCTTAAGTGAAGGTCAGCATTGGCTGTATGTACAGACCGGCAATAGTTGCAATTTCAATTGAAAGAGATTACTCTGTCAAAAGCACATCTTTACCGAATTAGTCTGTAGTGTTGGCGTCATAAACTGACTTGAAAGTGGATCAGCTCTGACAAGCCTATTGCCGATGCCCCGCAGAGGACATCCGATTTCAAAGTGAGACTCTTTGGCGCACAATTGTGAGTCTTTACCTACCTGCTGCGGGATGTATAACATATGTTGACTTAGGAGATATGTTCAAAAGTGCGAGAAGAAGACGAAACCTAAACCCGCTGTAGGGTATACAATAATGTCCTTAAACGATTACAGATTTTTCCCTAGCGGTTTTGACAAGGCGCTATACTAAAAGGCCAATGAATAACTAGGAGAGATTTCATCATTGGCAGATTATCTTGTTTTGTGCGAGAAATCATTGAGTGAAAAATGCTGAAATTAAACCCCGTCAGGCGACAAAAGACAGTAAGTGAAAACAATTTTAGCCTTGACTATGTGGCGATACAGTGCCGGCAAATAATGGTGCCATCGTGCGCGACTCACTCGAGGATAAATACTTTTAAGCAGTTGAATACTTCTTAGCCCGGAAAGACGTTTAACGTATTCACAAGTAGAAAATATTGAAATAAATAAAGGAAAACACAAGAAATTGTCAACAAACCTTAAAGAGCTCTCTGAATAAGCTCCTACAGAGAGCTAGCAAGTGTGCGCTATGATCTGAGATGAGCTCCTTACCCGCACGCGTGCTTAATAGAAGTTTAGCTTTCGGCTTCACAAGTGATTTTTTACCTTAAAAGAGGTGACTAAATTCGAGGAACACTCATGGAATTGTCAACAAACTTGTAGGAAAGAGAGAACTCTCTTTGGACTCGAAAGTAAACAGCTTAATCATGTTAATTGATGTTTGTAAATAAAGGTAATTGCCCCATCACTTTGAGGCCAAGGACCCAAATAGGTTCGCGCCAATTGTTTAACTGGTTGATTTATCACCAATATCATAAACTACCCTTCCACGTAATTTTTAAGTTATCAAACTAATAAAGATGTGTCGCATTGATTCAATTAAGTTCTTGATGCAATTTTTTATGCTACGAGAGCGGTCAAAAAACCTAAAATCGGTGAAAAATATGATTTAAGCGCAGCGACACCTTGGAAGTAACATAACGAATCGCTCCTATACCTGAAGAACTGTTATCGAAAACGTAATTGCCGTTTTGATCTTATTTAATTTATATTTGTAGCCGACACAGTGTCTTTCTGCGTTCAAAATATCTTAAGTGAATATCAAATTCTTTACGGTATTAGGAACTGTGGGCTGGATTGTGTTCCAGAAGGCTTTATACAGTAAGGTCAATATGGGCTCTACATTTCAAGAAGGCTAAGAAACTCGTAGAAGATATGATTAACAAAGCATTTTAGCCTTAAATCGCAATATGCACGCAAATATTAGTTTAAAATACAAGTTTAGAGTTTTGCTCTACTAAGTACCTACACTGATAAAACTTAAGTAAAAACATACCAGGCACTTGAAAAAGGTGTTCTCTTGAGAGCCTTATTACTTACTCTGCCTTGAGAGATTTGGTCAGCAAGTGTCGAGTGTTATTGTAAGACGGTCACAGAACGGAATAGATGCGCAACCAATAGATTGCTGTGAGTATCCGTTCGCCTGATGCGGTCAACAGCACATAAACGAAATGTGGAATGTTGAACTGGTCAATATTGCTCACATGACCTTGTAGCTTAAGCAGTTGTCACCTTGCTTGTATCGAGTTTGTACTTAATACTATTGTTTTTGAGACATTCTAAGAATAGAAACTAATTCACTGAAAAACCGAAGTTTTAGGTTGCGGTGCCATCAAGGTTGTGTTCTAACCGTTGTAATTAGAAAAACTAAAAGCTCTTAATTAGAACCAAAAGTACCCAGAAATGTCCTTAATTAAGTTAAATCATCAAAAAGTCATTAGTTTTCATTATAGGCTAGCTGAAAGCACGAATCAAGTAGTGATTTTTCAACGACAAAATACTGAAATTGTTAACAAGGTGCCAAGGACAGAGTTCCTCATGGCCCGATTTTGCGGGAACTAAGAAAACCGATCAACAAAAAATGCTATAGAATTAAGGCTCTTTTCATTACATGATATACATAACGAATTCACCTCGGCCGAAATTTAAAACCAAACTATTCTAGGCGGGGTCAATGCGGTTTAATTTGGAATCGGGGTATGATCGAGAAGGAAGTTGCTGGAGTTTATGTTAAAGTCAGTACTAGGTGGTTGGTAAATAGAATGCATTCTTTTGGGGGATTTTAGGCCGCAACTATTTCCTTGGCAAGTACTGCAGGCCCTTTTGTTTGAAAAAAAAAAAGTCTTGTTGTTTCTTCTCTTTCAGCTTTCAACATTATGCACAAGCTTCAAGGAATTAATATTTAAAATGTAAAAACATTAGCTTTGTATTAAAGGAGAAAAATATGCATGACAGCCGACCAACGTTGTCTTTAAAACATATGGTTGACTGGTATTATAACATAACTTTGGTAGATTTGAGGTTTTAAAAGGTTATAAAGGCCGTCGTAATTGAAATGCCGTGCTCATAATACTGAAAAACCTCCTAAACATGCAAAAGGAGAATGTGAGTTTTTAATTAACAGAAATGCAAACAGTTTTTAACATTTGC